GCTCCTCCTCCCTTGTCTCTCCACCAGCCCCCCTCCCTCATTCCCAGCCCAATCTCCACATCATTCCCCAGGGAGGGTGAGACCCTCCTTGGGGGGATCTCCAGAGTCTTTCACTTCATCCAGGGCAGGACCTAAGCCCTTCCCCATGTGTCCAGGCTGAGAGAGCATCCCTCTATGTGGAATGGGCGCCCAAAGTTCATTTGTATGTCATGGTGAACACTGATCTACTACCCAAGGCCCCAGAGATTTCTGAGGCCTCCTCACTGACACTGCATTCATGGAGTCTGGATCAGTCTCCTGTTGGCCTCTTAGCCATCAGTCTGGGGTTCAAGAGCTCCCCCTTGTCCAGTCAGCTGTCTTTGTGGGTTTCACCAGCATGATCTTGACCCCTTTGCTCATCACTCCTCCATCTCTGTCACAGGGTTCCAGGGGGTCAGTTCAGGGTTTAACTGTGAGTATCTGTCTCTGCTTCCATCAGTCACTGGATGAAGGTTATAGGATGGCATATAAGGTAGTCATCAGGTAGGGACTATTAATGTAGTCTCTCCGCTATTACTTAGTTTTCCAGTTGGTGTTATCCTTGTAGATCTCTGGAAATCTCACTAGTATCAGCCCTCTCCTCAAAGCTATAATGACTCCATCTATTATGGTATCTCCTATCCTGGTCTCCTCTATTCTTACCCCGACTCAACCTTCCTGCTCCCCCATGTCTTCTTCTACCCTCCTCTTATCCTCCTCTCTTTTTCCTGGTTCCTCTTCCCCTCCCCCCAAGTTCCCACTCTGCTCAGGAGATCTTGCACCATTCCTGGGTCAAAGAAGAAATAAAAAAAGAAATTAAAGACTTCCTAGAATTCAATGAGTATATGCCTAAGAGTAGAATTGCTGGGTTTTGTGGTAAACTTAGTACCACTTTTCTTCCACAGGAAAATTCTATTTCACTATGACAAAATGTCCTTGTCTTCTATTTCTTCCCAGCTCCCCTAGCCAACTTGTCACATTATGCACATTTTTCCAGGACCTGTCATGTGTCCATGGCCCTTCCCCTGGAACTTAGTCCCAAGTCTTACCAAGAACATGGGAATAGCAGTGATGACATAGCAGAGAAGGGCACTCAATACCTTCCACCTATGACTAGACTCCTCCACACCCTCACTTCCAGCCCACCCACTCAGAAACAATGGCGGCCTCTCTGCCTGGCCTCCTCGACCCTAGGCTTAACAGACAGATTTCAATGGAACTGATTTTTTTTTCAGTATATATCTGGAGCTTTGCCTTCAGAGCCTGACAGAAACAAATAAAAAGACAAATTGTAGGTCTGTGGCTGTCACAGCAGGGACTCCTATCATGCCATCAGCTTTCATGTTCCTAAATGTGCAAACTGCCTGAAAGACCAGGGTAATTGAAAGGCAGGCATAACCCTCTCTGGTTTCTCAGTATTAACTGAAATTGCCTCCTACTGAAGTTGCTTTCTGGCTTAGTATTCTGAAAGAAATACAAGCCATTCTGTTTCCAGTAGGAGTATCAAATTCCTTTAACCAGCCCATCATGAAGAAAAGTCTCTATGGACTGGTAGGTGGCAGGGCTAGCATGGTGGCACAGTTATTCTTACCCTGTCCCTAAAAATGGGTCTTTCTCTGTCTTTCTCTCTCTCTCTCTCTCTGTCTTTCTCTCTCTCTCTCTCTCTCTCTCTCTCTGTCTCTCTCTCTCTCTGTCTCTCTCTCTCTCTGTGTCTTCCTCCCTCTCCCTTTTCCTTCCCTCCCTTCCTCTTCCTCTTCCCTTCTTTCCCCTCCTCTCTCCCTTCCTTTCTCACCTTCCTCCCCCCTTTTTTCTTGCTGTGTTATCTACTGCTATATCAAAAGAGAATGAATAGTGAATATGTCTGAAACATTCACTTCATCATTCATCCGGAGTTTCCAGTGTCTTGTCTCACCTTCAAGCTTATCATGCTATCTGCTAGCTATGACACTGCCCTCACAAGTAATGAAAGAAAAATGGTTTGGCTATTTCCACAAAGTAGTGCTATTGGCAATGGAAGCCTGGAGGAAAGGTTACTGAAGATGTATCTTCAAAGGAAAACAGGTTTAATGTCTCCCTCTTTTCTTTTTGCTCATGGAGTGAGTGGTTTTGGTCTCCCACATGCTCCTACAGTGATGAGACACCTTCATCTGAAGGTTAAATCCATGGAGTACATCAATTTGGAACTAGAACCTCACAACCATAGTAACTCTTTCTCTAATAAATTGATTGTCTCTGGTACTTTGTTACAATAATGGGAAGATGATTAATACAAAAGACTGATTCATGTGAGTAGAATGTTGAGTTGAAACAGAAGATAGATAGATAGATAGACAGATAGATAAGCAATAGGATCCAAATCTAAACCTGATGGAGCAGGAGTAATGATTTATGTGAAGACACATCTAAAGCCATTACAGGGGATACTGGGTAAAGCATGTGTCCAATGCCTACAACCCCGAGTGTATTCTCTACAATTTGATAAGTTCTCGTCTTATATGGAACTGAGGTGAGTCGTCAGCTATCTGGCTGTGAGGAGCCATAACTCAAGTTATCTGAGTAGTTGCTAGACAACCCAGAGTTGTAGGGGTCATTCCTCAGACAATCTCACTTACTGCTCTACACCCCTACCATGCCCCCATGTGATTACCCATGCTCTTCCCTCAGGTTGAGGTAACAGCAAGAATCTTGGCAAAGTTACATGTGGAGTGGTTTAGATGGAGCTGTGAAGACCCAGGACACTGATAAGATACACTTCTGTTGATCAGTCTATAGGAACCCTATGAAATCACAGGAATGTCATCCCAAAATCAAGCCTGCATGTCAGTAACTTGCAAAGTCTATGTAACCTGTAGGTGACAATCTGTTTCCTATGTGGCTCCCGAAAAGCAGTGAGAGGAAGCACTCGTTTCCTCCTCCCACAGGTCCAAAGGACCTTGATTTAACATCACTTTCAGCCTTTTAGGCAACATCCTGTCTTCTTTTAGGTAATCGTCCCTTGGTCTGAGACATAGAAAAATCAGGCCAGAAGGATTCATTCCTTTTGCCTGTTATTTACTTATGATATAAACAGTTCCTTCTCACTTTCCTCATAGACTTCTGCTTACAGAGCTTATTTTTTAATTTTCAAAACATCTTCAGTGAGTCATTATCAAAAATAACTTCCTTCTTGAAGACCTGTTACAACAATTCTGACTCTCTGTAGGTAACTGTGACTGTCCCTGCCTGACATGAAGAAAGGTCAATAGACATAAAAATGTTCAGGGAGAGGCCTCAGAAATCTCTGGGGCCTTTGGCAGTAGATTAGTGTTCACCATGGCATATGAATGAACTTTAGGAGCCCATTCCACATGGAGGGATGCTCTCTCAGCCTGGAAACATGGGGAAGGGCCAAGGTCCTGCCCTGGATGAAATGACAGACTCTGGAGATACCCCCAAGGGGGGCCTCACCCTCCCTGGGGAATGATGTGGGGATTGGGATGGGGGTGGGGGATGGGGGTGGAGCTGGGAGGGAGAAGGGGGGGAGCTGGGATTGACATTTGAAGCATGCATGTTTCTAATTTAAATAAAAAAAGAGGAAAAAATGTTCAGGGAGGAAGGGTGCAACAAATCAGAGTATCTCAAAATACCCATGGACAGCCACCTTCTGTCCTCCCATTGTTCACAGAGACTCACCGGTCCTTTGCGTGCAGTCCAGGAATGTAGTTGAAACTTCTTTCTCAAATACCTTAGCCACTAAGTGTGCTCATCCAAAACATTTTGACCAGGAGAGTTTGCAATTCCACGTATTTTTTAATTTTAGTGACAGAGAGAGAGGAGAGATGAGCAAATTGGCAAAGAATGGGCTAGCAAAACCAGCAGAGACAGCTGATCTGAACAGGGGAGAGCTCTTGGACCCCAGACCAACAGCTGGGAGGCCAGCATGGGACCAATCCAGACCCCCTGAATGTGAGAGTCAGTGAGGAGGCCTGGGCTACCTATGGGGTCCTGAGCAGTGGGTCAGTGTTTATCCCTCGAATACTAACAGACATCATGTGTCCATAACACAAAGAGGGATGCTCTCTCAGCCTGGGCTCTTAGGGGAGTGCCTGGACCCTGCCCTGAGTGAAATGACAGACTCTAGATATCCACTATGTGGAAGGAATTGGCAATAGGGTGGGAGTCTGGGAGGAGAAATGGTAGGGGAGTATGGGAGGAGGGTAGGGAGAGGGAACTGGAATTGACATGTAAAACAAGCTATTTAAAATTAAAATAATAAAAAAGAATATTTGCATTTACATGGTGAGATACTTAGGAGACTAGGATCCAAATCTAAAGAGAGAATTCATTCATATTTCACATAACTGGAAAGTCACTTTATATAGCATGTTTAGCACTTTGTGACCTGTCACTATGAGATCAGAGGTGGAATTTTCCACTTGTGGAAATTTTCCGCCATGTCATCAATAGGTTTCAAATTTTAAAGCATTTGAGAATTTGGATTTTCAAATGGGAAGTGCTCATAAGTAGCTGAAATTTAACTCCAGAATAGACAAGTAAGTAAGGGAAAGACTGGAGGATGCTGAGACCAATCCTCCTAAACGATCCCTTATCTAGCTCTTCTTTGAGCAGGGTAAACGGCCAACCCGGCGTGGTCAAATCTATCCCAGTAACCAGTGCAGAAAACAAAACTCACAGCACTCTCTAACCAGAGCAGTTAACAGCTTAAATATGATGTTTTCAATAAATGAAACCTATCTCCATGTATCTTCCATATAGTACATCTGCAGCAACCACCAAGGGAAATTCTAGTATAAAAAGCTAAATCTGGATCAGTCATATCAAGCACTATACACTTCAAAAAAATCTAAAGAAAGTATCTTGGATAAGTTTTATAACTCTTAGCAACTTAAAATTTGTTTAAAATGTATCTATCAGCCTCAAAAAAACACAGATAGTGTTTGTGTATATTTTAAATTGTACTTAAGCCCACACACTTCACCTTCCACAGCTGCATTTTTTGTTTATTTTTTATGAAAGATGAATAAGAAATAAACCAAATGCCAATGTTTCAAGATGTGTACTTCTGGAAAAATCTAGGGGAGTACCACATTAGGGTTACTAATTAGGGAAGATTATTCTCAACTATGTATCGTTCAATAGCTCTGGCATAAAACGATGCTTCCTTCAAAAACAGAGTGATTTCAGTACTTGTATTTGACACATACTGAAGAAAACCTCCCAAGAGACTGAATCATATTTGTTCTCAGACAAGAAGACAGACGGTGCCCCGTGACCACAGCATGATGAGTTCTGCTCTGACATTTAAGTGGTTCAATCTTCTGACAAGAATAAGGATCCCACATGTGGGGTTGACTTTGTAGGGCAAAGCATGACATTCCCACTCAGGATGGAGATAATTGCATCTGTCTGTTTCTTCCAACGTGTGTGAGTGTGTGTGTGTGTGTGTGTGTGTGTGTGTGTGTGTGTGTGTGTGTGTGTGTGATTTCACTGAAGAAAGTCAACCTTGCTAATCAGGAAATTATGTTCTTTCTCTTTTCCTAATCAATCTGTAGAAGGTCCACTGGCCCCTGGATGGGGTCAATTATACTTAACAAATCACAGAGATGATTGGGGCACACAGGTGTCTCTAGTACCATCCTGTAATTTGACAGACAAAAAAGTCAAAACCCAACACATTTTTTCAAAACTTCACAAATAGTTCACGGTATGGTTTGTGAGTGTTCTTCACACCTCCACTTGTAAAGGAAAAAGGGCTGGACTGAGGTTTGGGAAAACAAAAGGTCTGTGTGCACAGGTGGCTGGACATAGAAGGGAGAAGTATGTACTGGAGGGGAAGGAGAAAAGATGGTGCCTTCATGCTGGGAAAGCAGCCTAAGTGCCAGCTACAGATGTTTGAATTAAGCATCCATTGCCCACTAGATGCTGATGAAGAGGACCAGGGCCCCCTGGGTCCTACTGGGCTTCTTCAGCGCAGGGCTTGATGGCTGTGATGGAGATGCTCTGGCCTCTGCATCTCAAGATGCCTGCCTCACACTCGGACAAGGTCTCCTCCTTGCCATTCACGTCCACACAGATGCTGTACCCTGCTTCCTGGCACTCTGACGCTTCTCTGCAGACACATTTGCTGTTCTGAGCTGGAAAGAGTAAGTGGGAGAGACTTAATGGCACATTGCGGAGGTAAGAGACCCAAAGCACATCATCGCCTGCAAAGTGATGGCATGATGATTAGAGAACTCCTGCCTTGATTGATACCATAAACTATCTGCTGGAAGAGCAGTAAGACCAGGATATGGGGCTGTTTTGTTTCACTCAGAATAAATAGGCTTTGAAATTGGTGCCGTGTTTTCCACTGGCGGGACACACATGAGGCAGGTCTATTCAAGTCAAGAGCTCCCCCTCTCTTTCCTCATATAGGCTGCCAGACTTGTGAGCCAGAAATTAAGGGTAATTCTTTGTTCCCCAGACCAAGTAAGAAGATTTTGGCAGAGAGTGGAGAATCAAAGTTCAGTGACACAGAAAGAAAAGAATAAAAAGTTCTTAGAGACAGAAAGTCGGGCATTCAGAAGGCCACTTGTCCTTAAAAACCAGTCAAAAAACAAGGAGAAAACATGGGAAGTATCTTGGTGGGGATCCATCAACCTGGTCCAGAGGAGAGTGAGTGGGCCAGCCAGAGAATAGTAAAGCAGAAATGACCCGACGGGACTAGAGTCACAGATCTTGTCATCCTACCGCAACTTATGAAGGACTGAGAGAAAGATGCCCATGCAGTATACGGGATAGAGAATCAGGGAGCTTGCAGATGTATAAATCACATAGGTCAGCTTCCACGTCTACGGGTACAGAAACCCTGGGCAGAAGCTTGGTTCTTGCAACCTGCCCTTCCCCCTTCACCATATTCCCCAAAGCATGAGTGGTGTTGAAGATCATTGCTAAGTTTGATCCAGTCAAGTTGTAGCTGACAAGGAATCACAATCCGATAAAGTAGCTCCTGTGTTTAGTCTCTTCAGGGCCTTCTGATTATTTCAAGAAAAATCAGCTGGCACTCGTAGTTTAATGCCTCTCTAACACTTTTGAAACTTCCTTACAACAAGGAGAAGGTGTCTTTAGTCTAAGAACAGTACCTGGCTCCAGTCTTCAACTTCAACTTAACTTTGCTCCCGTGTGTGTGTGTGTGTGTGTGTGTGTGTGTGTGTGTGTGTGTGTGTGTGTGTGTGTAACACAAATAATAAAAACCCAGAGACAGATATTGGGGTTCAAGCTGAAGATCAGAGAAGCAAAGGAGCCAGCCACTAGCTCTTGCCTCTACCTCAGGCTGAAAGGGCTGTCCTTTCCCCAGCATTGCTGGAGAATAAATCTCTCTGACTGAATACAGAATGCCTCACTCCTATCTTATATACCTCTCTAGAGCTGGGATTAAAGGTGTGGGATCCCAAGTACTGAGATCACCTTTGTGTGAGCTGTTTCTCTTTTAGACTGGATCAATTTCGTTTAGTTCGGTGTGGCCTTCAACTCACAGAGATCTGTCTCTCTCTCCTGAGTCCTGGGATTAACAGTCTGTACCACCACTGCCTGGCTCTGTGGCTGTGTCTAGCTTTGCATTCTGAACCCTCAGGCAAACTTTATTAAATCATAAATAATATATCACTACATGCATATGTGTGTTCACCCACCATGATGTACATGTGGAAGTCAGAGAAAAACTCTCGGGAGGTACCTTCTCTCCTTCCATCATGTGGATTCCAGGGACAGAACTCAGGATGTCAGATTTGGCCACAAGCACCTTTACCCACCGAGCCATCTAATCAGTCCAGTGACACTTCTTTTTAAGGGTATAACAATTTGATTTTTAGGAGGTATTTTTATATAAGATCTTTTTTCCTTTAATTTTTTTAATTTTTATTTTGTGTGCATGGGTATTCTGCCTGTATGCATGCCTGCATACCATGAAGGCAGAGTGAGAATTAGTGGGGCTTGGAAGAACACTTTGATGATCAAGAATGAATTTTTGTCCTCTTGCAGACCTCATCCAATCCCCTCTCCTGGGAGGGAACTAACCTAATATATTTGACATTTTGAGGTATCTGCTGATAAACCAGGAACTACATTGTTTAAAACTCTTGGCACCATTGCCTTGGCATTCTTACAGTTATAAATATGGAAGGTTTCTTACAGTCACATTTGCTCCATGGTGGACACGCACCACAAGCTTTCTCAGCTGAAGCAGGCGGTGTACAGCTGTCCTTGCCAATGAGAGTATAATTTCTTCCCTGACAGTGGAGAACATACATCTTGCAGATAGTCAAAGACAGTATCCTTTTGCTTCTCTCATCTCGAGCACACACATCCAAGGAGGATCTGGAAAGAGCATTTTAATTACATTATTTACAAGATTTGTTTTCTTCAGAGCTGAGGAAGATAAGCGAAAGAGAGACTTTGTGCTCACGACTCTACAACGCAACCAGCCCAAAAAACAGCCACAAAAACTGTGTTTGCTATTTGTGAGCTCATAGTTTTTACAAGCACAGATACCTAGAGCTGGTTTATCTTCATCTAGGACAGACCAGCTGCAGCAAATTGGATGAGAAGGCGAGGTCTGCCAATAACTGCTGATAGATTGGTACCGAAGGAAACAGGAAATCAGCAAAGACCAAACACCACCACTGACCTCCCAACTCAGTGGCCCTCTGAGTCTATAATATGGCATTGTTAACTAAAATCCTTAAGCAAGCAAGTGGAGATGAAACTATTTCTCAGTGTTGTCTTTAAGGTTTATTTTTAATACTTTAATTATATAAACAACTGTGTGTGCAGCTATGCATACATGAGTGCAGGTGCCTGTACAAGCCAGAGGAGTGAGATCTCAGGGAGCTGGAGTTACAGACAGCTCTGAGATGCCTGGTGTGGGTTCTGGGAACCAAATTCAAGAATAGCCATAGGGTCATTCCTCCAACCCCCTCAATATAATTTCTTAAAGTATCTATGTAGCATTGGGATAGCTCATTGAATAAAGGCACTTGCCACTAATGATGTGAGTTTGATCCCCAGAACCACCGTGGTAGAACAAAAGAGAACCAAATCCAGCAAGTTGTCCTCTGACTTCCTCATTTGTGCTGTGGCATGATACCCATACCCCTGCCAATAAAAGTGACTGTGTTTACAAAGGATTTAGAAATATATCCATTAAACATCTTAGTGGAGTTTTTTCTTAACCTCCATTGCTAAAATGGTATGGGGTGGTTTGAAAGAAAGTGGTTCCCAAAGGGAATGGCACTATTGGGGGGATATGCCTTTGTTGGAGGAAGTGTGTCACTGTGGAGACACCGGCTTTGAGGTCTCATATATGCTCAAGCATGCCCAGTGAGACAGACCATTTCCTACAAGTCAACATGTAGGACTCTCGGCTCCTTCTCCAGCATCATGTCTGCCTGCATGCCACCATGTCTCACCATGACTGCAAATGACAGAATGGAGATAAACTGGGGGACTTTCGGGAATTAGAAAGAGAAAAAAAAGATTCAAATAAATAATACTATAAGACAGCAATAACAGAATTGGGACACTAGAATAGGAACGTATCTGGGCTGAACACAATTGTAATTTGTACTCTTCACCGATTTTCTGCATACTAAAAGTCATGATATGTTATTAATATCATCTACTATTAATCCAAGAAGAGGATATGGTGTTTGATGAGCATGACGACTACAAAGTATTCAGTATATTGCTTTGTTGATTCCTAAAGATGAACCAACTTTAGTCCCTAATCTTAACAATGAAAATGGTCCAGAGACTGGTTGTCTCTCACGTCCTCCCAGCCCCCTCTACACTCCTGCTCATCCTCTTGGAAGTCTGGCATGGAAAGACCATATCAGTTCATGCTCATCCTCCAGCTGTGAGTGCATTCTGTCATTGCAGAGCACTGGTGGAGTGACTTTCAGCATGGAAGGAAGAGAAGTGTTTATAACTCTGGATGAGACCTGTGGTGCCTCTCAAGACCCTAAAGGGAGTCTGCTCCTCCTTAGCAGCTGTCCCTTCACAGCCCTCTCTGTCTTCATGTATCATAAATGTCTTCCTCCCTCTTTCAGGCCTGGGTGTAGATATACTCACACATACAAAATTATAGTTTGCTTTATTCTGCCCACATTTTTGTAGGCATGCTGTTAAACCTTTCCTACTCCTCACCCAATTGTACAACCTGCATCTTGCTAGGATCCTAATCCAGGAGCTACTTTCCAGATCCTCCTAAAAGTAGTGACCAGAAATTGGTAGCGTTCTTGGAATGCAAATCTAATAAGGAAGCTTCTAACGTCAGAAAAGCTCTATTATATACTGGTATTTTTAGCATTTATGTCCCATGGGAATTCGAGCCTAATTCACAAAAGCTCTAAATCCTCAGGTGACAGTTCTGTCATTTCGTTTCACTTTATATAGAGAACAGAAGTGCCCAAGTGGCCCTTCAGTGCCTTGCCCCTCCAGATGAGACCCCTGCTTAACACCATGTCTGTCAACCTATGACCTGTAACAGGCAGCAGTGGGACGCATTAAAATGCAAAGACCCTTAGCTGTTCGTAAGCTGTACCTTCATTCAATAAGCTGCACTAAGCCACCCCATTTACCCTGGATAATATCAAACAGAAAAGAAAGCGACAAAGACAGAGCTTACCCGCACTCGTAGGGCATTTTACAGACGCATTTTGAGTTTTTCAGTTTCTCCCAGGGCTGACATGCAGGACCAGCTGGTGGGAGAGTGCTGGTGTCTAAAAGAAATATTTAAGAGAGATGTGATCCTTGGCAGAAAAAGCCTTGCTTTACAATAGAACTTGCTGAATCCAGATCTGTAGGATTCTCTGCTGTAAAGATAGTTGAAAGAAAGGATGTGGATTTGGGTGGATGGGTGATAGGGAGAATGGGGTTGGGGGAAGGGGAACCATACAAAAATATTGTATGGAAAAATGTATTTTCAATTTAAAGGATAAAAAAAAACAGTATGCTCTCATCCCTAGCCAAGAAGCTATCTCTGATTGACATCTGCTTGCAAAGGAAAAATGAGTTTTCTCCAGTGGCATCTACTGGGTATATTAGCCACACTTAAGGGATGGCTCCGTGCCCAGCAGTGGAAGGCCAACACACAACGAACTCAATGCTATTTTTGTAAGACTTTTTGGCTCATATTGTTTGTTAGAGCACTGTTTGTGTTATTGGTCTTTTACTTGTATATAATGGTTTCCAGTTCTGTGTTTTTATGGTGCGTGTGTGCGTGTGTGCGTGCGTGCGTGTGTGCGTGCGTGCGTGTGTGTGTGCATGTGTGCGTGCGTGCGTGCGTGTGTGTGTGTGTGTGTGTGTGTGTGCCTATCTGCAGATCAGGATGTATAGCTCCCAGCTACATCTCTAGCACTATGCCTGCCTGCTGCTTCATTCTCTACCGTGATGATCATGGACTAACCATGTAAAATTGTGAGCACACCCCCAATAAATTCTCTCTTTTCTAAGAGTCACTCCGGTCTCAATGTCTCTTCAGAACAATAAAACAGTAACTAAGACAACAGATGTGGGGCACCACACCCAGCAGTTTCTTTGTTTTCATCAACTAAGTTATGGCAATTTATGAACAAAGTGAAGATGGGTGAGGCTGTATACAACCTGTATTTTGCAACTTTTCTGAGATCTAAAGTGATTTTCAAGTGAAGCAGTTTTCTATTTTTATGAGTATATATTTTGGTTTGTATTGAAAATATCTCTGTAAGCCCCTGTATTTGACCATTTGGTGGCACTGTCTGGGGAGGGTTACAGAACTATTAAGAGCTACAGTCTTGTTGGAGGAAATATATCACTAGAGGTGGGCTTTGAGAATTTAGCTCTGTTTCCTGGTTGTAGATGTGATGTAATAAGCAGCAACATCCTGTCACCTGATCCCACCCCTCCCCCACCATTATGGACTCTCCCTCTGGAACCAAATAAACTCTTCTGTAAATTGCTTTGGGTCGCAGTATTTTATCAAAACCACATAAAAGTAACTAACAGAAAAGTAGCTCATAAACTAACAGAGTCATTGTGGTGTCTTCACTGACGCACACCGTTGTACTTAGCTTACTATACTAAGCTCCCATCTACTTTGATATCAAATACATTTAGTACTGCTGATTTTGTTTTTATTGTTGTTTGCATGTACACACAGTCACATGTGTGTCATGCTGTGTGTGCGTGCGTGCGTGTGTGTGTGTGTGTGTGTGTGTGTGTGTGTGTGTGTGTGTGTGTGTAGGTCAGAAGACAACTTTCACCTCTTCCACCTGTGACCTTCCATCTTACAATAGAAGGGCTGGGATTCCTGATGCTCACTACTGTATCCGGATTTTTCCTTGGGTTCCGAGGGTTAAACTCAAGTCATTAGGCTTGTATAGTGTGTGCTTCTACCTGCTGAAACACATTACCAAGCCTCATATACATATTTTAAGCATGTATTGTATATATGAGAGAAAAACTTATTTGTCTCATTCTGCTTCGGCTCCATCAATTTCTTTCAAATAATACAGTTTTGTTTGCCTTAGAGGCTGATAAAACTCCATTGTGTTTATATACCACATTTTTCCTCGTTCTAATTTTTAAATTTGTATTTAATATTAATATTTTTGAAGTATGAATTTTACACCTCATTCTCTACCCTCAAAATCTTCTACTATCTTCCTACACACACTTCTATTTCCTCCCAACTTCTTATGCTATTTTTTTTAAACCCAGTGAGTTCACTTAGTGTTGCCTATATGTTTTGGGTGTTTGACCATCCACTGGGGCATGGGTGGCCTCTCACAGGCTGTATTTCTGAAGAAAACTGATCCCCCCACACAGCAGACATCAGTTACCTAGCTCCTCAACTAGCAGTGGAACTTCATGACTTCCTTCTCCATGCATGCGAGGATGTTTTTTCTAGTTTGATCTTATGCAGGTTGTGTATAAATTAAGTTTTATTCGTTCATCCATCTGTTGGTACAAATCTAAGCTAATGCCATCTTTGCTGTTGTGAGTGCTGTGATAAATATGGATTTGCAGGTATTTACATCCTATGATGACTTAGATTCCATCAGGTAATTAATATTATTGAAATATGTGGTAGTTCTAGTTTTGATTGATTGAGGCATCTCTGAATTGGTTTCCATAGTGATTGAACTAATTTACATTTCCATCAGTAGTGTATAAGGGTTCCTTGAACTGCCAGGATTTGTTTTTTGGTAAAATATTTATTTTATTTGATAGAGAAAAATCAGTTTATATGCAAAAATTCTGGAGATGGGTAGAGAAGATAGCTGTTGGTCAGTAAGAGTATACTTAATATTGGTTATCTGTATATTAAACTGATTAAAATAGTAATTCTTATGATACGTATAGCTTAGCAAAATTTTTAAATTACTAAATATTTAGTCATTTAAAGACCTAGGACTTCATTCACATTCCTATTAACTGATACTTGTGTTTGTATATGTATGTGTGTAGAATAAGCATGTGTTAGTGTGTTTATCATAACTTCTAAAGGGTTAAATATTCAAAGGGCTAGTACCTTATTCACTCATTAGTTAATATTGTGTGTGGTGGTGTGTGTACATTATTATATGCGTGTATCTGTGTGTGAGTGTAGGTGTGTGTACAAGTGTATGTGTATATGGACGCTAGAGTTCAATGTCAGAGTGTCCTTCTTTCTCTATCACTCTCCACAAGGCATCTCTTTGAACTTGGAGCTCGCCATTTTGGCTAGACTGGCCATCCAGCCAGCTGCCAGCATCCACCTGTCCCCATGCCCCCAGTGCTGGGATTATAGTCATACAGCACAACACCCAACTTTTATCTGAAAGCTGGAGATCTGAACTGGGTCCCTCATGCATATGCAACAATATTGTACCCATTGTCCCATCTCCCATCCCCACACTCAACTCATATTTTAAAGCACCGACCTTGAAAACTGATAAACATGGGAATTTTTGTTTGTTATAGGTTTACCTTGAGTGTAGTTATTATTGCTATCTACATATTCGGAGAAATGCACAGGTCTGTAAAACATCCTTAATTAGAACCAACCATAATACCATTGTCTACTGAGTAAAGGAAAATCATACTAAATTATACTATAAAATGATGGAAGCAAGCATTTCAGAAAAACAACTACCTCATTTCCTTTGAAACCAATGCATATCCTCATTAAGTATATATCTTTCTCTTTCATTTTAGAATCACAGGTACAGGTGCCTTACTTTACACAACTCTATGCTAGAGGGAAAGCAGGAGACAGCAACTGCTTTCTGGTGTGTGAGAAAAGAGTTCACATCAAAGCTAATGTGGAAGGCACTCCACTAGTCCACTCTACTCTCTCTACTGTCTGTGCATCACCACAATCCATATCTAATTCAGTGGGACAGGGCTCCCAGAAGCCTGCTCTTTGCCACTGTAAACATCTAATTCGCTTAACTGTGCTCATTATAGAAGCCACTACTTCATCCTCATAAGAATAGACAGATTTTAGCACTGAGTTAAGATTTTTACACTAAAGAAGTAGAATGTAGAACAGCATGTACATGAGCTTTCCTTCTTTCCTGGTTATAATTATTAAAAGCATCTTCCCAGGCTGGAGAAATGCAACAGCAGTTACAAGGACTTGTTGTTCTTGCAGTAGGGCTGGTCTCGGTTCCTGGCACCCACAGACCTCTTACAATTCTCCTTAACTCCAGTGCCAGGGCATCCAACACTCTCTCATGGCCTCCACAAGCCTTGTTCACACACTCAATGTACTCACATACATGCAGGCAAAACATTCATACACACAAAACACAAGCAAATTCATCTTTTTAAATTATTAAGTAAACTACATACTTAACATTTATTAATGTATAGTCAAACAATAAATATGTGTCTTAAAACATATTTGGCCCATTTCACAACCTCTAAAAATACATAATTTTGTCTTTCTAAATTGTTCTTTTTGTCTCAGGTGCTTGTTTTTGTTTTGAGACGAGATCTCTCTACATAGACTTGGCTGTCCTAGAATTCACTATGTAGACAGGGATGGCCTCAAGCTCACAGAGATCTTCCTGCCTCTGCCTCTGAGTGTTGGGATTAAAGATGTTCACCACAACACCAAATTTATCTTAAGTTCTTAAAAGAATATTAACATGTGACTAATGTTTAGGATACTGGATTGCTGGATTTCCACTACAAAAAGTAAAAGAAGACCACTCCATGACCCCACACCCCCACCCTCAGCTAAAAGCTAAGGGCCTGAAACTGAGCTCAAGGTCCCAGGAAGCAGTTATTTGTGGACTGCTGAAGAAAGGTAGCTGACTTGATCCCAGACCAGTGTTTGCAGAGACAGCAGACCCTGCAATCACACAGCTTATCTAGGAAAAACACCTAGCTTCTCCCATTCTGCCCCCTAACAAGCCCTTCAAAGTGTTTCACTAGCCTTAGCTACAAAACCATCAGCCTAAAGCCTGGATTCTGCATCTCCTGGACTCTGGTCATTGAGTGATTGAATCCTGTGCCTTGATTATGGGGTGGCCAGAATTAAGAGACATCACCTCTCTAGGATTAAAACTTTGGGGCTCATCTAAATTCTCATCTTTTATTTCTTCCTGAAAACTTAGTTCTTACTTACCCTTACAAAGAGAAGTTTCACAACCCAAAAGACTTTTCTTTGAATAATATCTACTTTGCAGTGTTAAATATAAACGCTTTTCAAATTTTCAACTTTCATATCAATAAACTCTGAGAGCCCAAAAATAAAGCATTCAAAAATTGAAAATAAATCATCATCTTAACTCTCAGTTTAGGGGATCAGAAGAAATACAAACATCAGCCAGCTTTCAGAAAGCCTTCATTTTCTTAGTACTCTGTGTAGCAGACATAAAGCTGTTGTTTCCTGTGGAGCAATGCAGTTCAGTTCCTGTCTCTGCACTCCACGAGTCTATCGTGCTACATGAATAGCTGTTGTACTGTCTACACAGTGACCTCATTCTCCTCAGGAGCCAGATGGAGAGAATGATGTACTGTGACCCAGTGCCATGGAGGTCACCATCAGGACTCTCGCCTGTCTGAGCACGGGCAGTATTGAAGAGACACGGGGTCACTTACCTTTATGCACACACTGGGCATTTTTCGGCTCAGGGCTCCATTTAAGACTGGATCCACAAAGGAGTGTTGAAGGACCTTCTAAGGACATTCCAGCTGCACAGGAGAGGGTCACCTTCTCACCGACCTTGTAAAGGGGTTTCTGGGGGTGACTCTGCATGCCATTCATCAGTACAGGTAGAGTGCAGGCAATTTCTGAAGATGAAGGAGGACAGAATGCAAGGGTCACTGCTTTCCTAAACAACCTGGTTAAAGACAGCCCAGGACTGTGCTAATATACATTCTCTGCCTTTTTGTATCAAAGGACAAACAGGGAAAACAGTGTGTCTACTCATAGGGGGCTCCAAAAGGCACACTCCATGGTGTCTGACACGTAATTGACCAGTGAATGACTGAAGACAAAACAGCTGTCATCTCCTTCCCCTGCCCTCAAAGCAATGTGACAAGCTGAAGTGAACAAGCCTACAAACAGAGTCCCAAAGCCCAGGCTGTTGCTAAAAGCAGACGTCACAGCTGCCATTTATCTCTGTAGTCAGGTGATGTCCCACCAGAATTTCCTTAGGAACTTTCCTCATTTTCATATCTTTAGCTCTAATTAGATAATGTCACTATCTACAAATTTAAAACTCCACCTTGCACCTTGCAGCCATTAAAGTGTGCAGTGTTCTGTATTTTTCCCACCTCAAATTTTCCCTTAATGGCATTCATTAGTTCAAATCTATTTAAAAATAAAACCACAGAAAAAAACAAATATATAGTTAATACATACATATATATACATATACACGTGTGTGTGTGTGTTGTGTGTGTGTGTGTGTGTGTGTGTGTGAAGAACAGGTCAGAAATCATGACTGAAAACAAAAATCTTTGCCAAGTCCTTCATGGATTTTGGGTAATACTATACAACATCGCTGAGTTTCTGCACTGTCTTTATCAGAAGACTCAAACATTCATTTATTCAAACACAGTATTTGCCACTTATTGAGTGCCTGTATTTTGCCAAATATGTTGTGTACTGGCGGAACAAAGCTAAGTACTGGTCACATGTTGTGTCTTCTAAATCTGGCACTGCGTTTGTTAGTGGCATGATACATCTGCCATGTCTACTAGGAAAACATCTTTCAGCCTGTCTCCCACCAAGACAGATTGGAAAGTTGCACAAGATTAAAACAAAAAATGTTTCTGAGTATCACAAAGTTGTCAAAAGAGTACAGATTTAAAGGTCCCAGATTCCGGACAGAAGAGAAATCAGAGGTAGTGGTTTTAAATTTGGTAATGCTTTCTCCATGGGGTACTTGTAAATTTGAAAAGCTAAAATTAAAGTAAGAGCATAGTGAAGAACAGACAAACTGATGAGAGAATTACAGATCCAAGGTTAAACTGTTTATGGAGACTGCAGGAGAGTCACAGAGCAAAGGATCCAGGACACCAGTATTGTCAGAAAAGGGAGGATACCCAGGTAGAAAGTCCATACTTTTCATCAAGATCACTTAGTAGCTGGAATAAACCTTAACCAATCATGAAGAAGCTTCATTTTTGACCAGATAGAAAACTCATCTTCTTCAAAGATGTCATCAAAGTCTTAAATTGTTCTTAAATGTGGAGAGTGGCATTTTGTCAGAACTAATCTAGTATTCAAAAACATAAGAATGACCAAAGTTTGACCAATAAAAATACAACAGAAACAAGGCATGCAAATAATGAAATTAACAGTTATGTGCCTTGAAAAGACTGCAATTACTTTGTTGAGAAATCTAAATGATGTCAAGTATAGTGTCTCATGCCTGTAAACTCAGCACTTGGGAGCCTGAGGCAAGAGAACTGCCATTAATTGTGGTAAGGTGAATTCCACTCCAGCTTGAGTGAAATTTTTCCTTAAAAAAAAAACCACCCTAAATAACGAGATGGAGATTTTCTACAAAACATTGGAAAATAGCAGGGTGATAGTGGCACATGCCTTTAATCCCAGCACTCGGGAGGCAGTGATAGGTGGATCTCCGAGTTAGAACTCAAGTTGGTGAACAGAGTGAGCTCCAGGACAGCCAGGGCTACACAAAGAAACCCTTTCTTGAAAACTAAAACAAAATAAACACAAAATGGAAAATACAAATAGTAAAAAAAATATATTAACAGTTCCATAGGACTCTTAAAACACTTTATCACAATTACACAGAAAATGCATAAGTGAAAGATAAATCAATAGGAATACTTAACACGAAAAGCAAAGCAAAAAATATAAAGCATTATATACACAGTGGCGTAAGCACCAGTATCCATCCCTGTCTGCTTTCTGGCTGTGGATGCTATGGGAGCAACTACCCAAACTCCCTCCACCAAGGTTTCCTCATTGAGCCTATGCACCTTCCCTGTCAACTATGAGCCAACATAAGTCTTTGTTCCCTTAAGTTGTTTTCATTTGGTATTTTTGTCACAGTGGTGAGAAAACTAGCTGATGCAGGCTCCTATCCACTTTTCAGGAAAAGGAGATGAGTTGCTAATGATGTAAAGCCGATGGTGAGTTGCTCTATGGTAATGGGTTTTGCATGAGTGGTTATTTATCTTGATTCATTTTCTTCTCTATCATTCTGTCATCTTAGGATATATACTACAACCAAGACTACTCACTCTGACAATGCATTTCTCCAACAAGCCACTGTAAATCTTCTCCACATCTGGCAATAGGATCTCCAATAAGGAAATATCCCTCTTTGCAAACATATACGATGTTTTTCCCAACAGGAAACATGGTACCTTCATCCTAAACAAGTTAAGAGATGGAGAAAGGTTGAGTTTGACTGTTTCTCATTAGGTTTATTTGGCCTGCAAATCATAATTAACTTTAATCATTGATTAGCATACATTCAAACAACTGATTTAGAAAATCAATATAAGGCATTTTCCCCTGTAAGGATCTATTCAACATTAGTACCACCATTGATTGAAATAAAGCCATAAATGCCAACATATCATAAACGTATAGATTGCTCCCCAAATACCAAGTGCTACACTAAGCATTTTACTAAAATCACTTTAAAAGACACCATTAAAGTAATTTTTTCCCTTACACTTGCCATCAGATTTTGGAAATATTTTTCCATCAGTTCTTCATCTGAATGATATGTATTCTGTTAGTTAATAACACTACCCAATAAATGTTAGCATAACAGAAATATTTGCATCTTCTCAAAATCTTCATGCAAGTCTTTCTTATTGATGACATTTTATCAGCTCATTGTTTCTTTGCTTGTTGAGATAGGTCTTCACTGTGCCTCCCAGACTAACCTGGATTCACTAAGAAGCTCTAGCAAGCCTCAAACTCAGAACCTCACCCCTCTGACTCCCAAGTGCTAGGATTACAAGCATGTGCCACCGATGATAACTTCTAAAAACACATGATGCTGATTTCTCCAACTCTGTACTATAGTTGTAGAAACACTGGGAGGACATAATCACCCTCATTTGGGATTCTTGCTTCTTTTACTTATCCTCTAGTTCTCTGCCACTGGGGAAATACAGACCTTCGGGATGGTTTGGAGATTGCATTTTACCCAGTTCTACTCTGGGAAATAAACCAAATTTCCTGGGACCTCATTATCATTGTCAAACACAGACTACTCAAGACTTAATCTACCTCCTTCATAGAAGCTAATAGGAAACAACAGGTAAGATAAATGTCAGCTTTTGACTGTAGCCCCTAGTCCTTCTTCTACTTTATAAGAGGGACTTCCTGATGTGGAACAATGACTCAACACCATCCAAAATTTTCTATACAAAAATAACTTATAGAAAGTATAAAAGGCTCCACTCCCAAACTACTGATTCTGAAAGGGTTGTAGGATGTGAATCAATCTCTGTTTTGAGTGACCCTGAGTGACCTATGTGGCTATTCTGAAATAGTGTTTAAAAATGTTGGCTCCTAAAAAAACGGAACTTCATGAGTTGCTGAGATTAGTCTGCATTATATTGCTTTCTAAACATGTTGCATCTAAAAGCCCCATAAACCATGGTGAGTGTGTAGAACAGTCTACCACTTTCTGCCTTATCCCTTTGCCTCCTCACTTTCCTAAAGCATATATACATTTGTGGAAACTTAAGCAAACTCTCATTTTTATAAGCTTAATGGCCAAAAATTTAAGAATCAAAATGTCTCACGAAGAAGGTAAAGCTAGCAGTTGGGGGGCCATCTTTGTGAAGACACATCTCCTGTGTGAACCATGAAGACATGTCATTGAACTTTGAGCTAAGAGCTCAATTGTAAGAAAAATTGGGCTAATTAAGACCATCACAATACCAAGTGATGCCACAAGAACAACCAATGGAAGATGACCATGATCATTTTATGAACTTAAAAATGGTGAAAGTATGATAACATACATCTCATCAGACAGTGCTTAAAATATCTCTTTGGGTAAATAAAATACTTCATGATGAAAAATTTTTAAGATAAGCCTTTTTCAATGAAATAATAAAGAAAATGCTTTAGTTTTAAGAATTTGCATGTACATTCACACTTAGTAACACTGGCAATGTTGAATAGCCTTCTGACATGATGGTATCTCTAATTCATCAGGTGGCAGTATTAACATCCCAGACCACAGAAGGATCTTCTATAAAGTTTGAATCACCTTGGGCCACAGAAGAAATGTCACAAATGCAATTCTCCACTACTGAAGTTAAAATGCACACATAAAATGTTTTACCACAATTTCACAATGTAGAAGGAGATGGGTTATGGCCAAGTAAAGAGATAGAAGTTGGAATAATTATAAAGGAAAAAGGTATTTTTTCATAACCAACTTGAACAAATCCATCTTTCAAAGCAGGGGGTGGTGGGCAGAATCCTTTTGGAACCAAAGACAAATAAAAGCAATGTGGTTCAAGTAATCTGGAAAAAAACAAAAGGAAATCAATTTGATTGATTTTCACAATTAAGTTGATATATTAAAATTTTCATTTATATCTGAATGTATGCAAGTAGAAAATATAAGAACATAGATACATATTTTTGTCATTCTCAGAACCAAATATGTGACCATAAACTCAATCTAGCAAAAGATGATGAATTGAATATCTACAGGATCAGTAGTATGAAAAGCAAGAAGGAAGAAAGATTAAAGTCTTTGGGTAATGCATCTATATTATATGATTTCTAGAGTCCAGCTGTCTCAGATAGCACTGTATCTCCTGCTATTGAGTTCTGAAATCCTTTTATCACAAAACTAATTCTACTTGGTGAAAAAAATATCAAGTCTAAAAGGAGCAGAAATCCTTCATGTCACATCACCAATGCTATACCTGAAAAATTTACCATCACATGATCATTTCAGCAGGAGCTTATAGCGATGATAACAATAATGGAAACATCCATCATTGAACAGTGATTGTCCATAGCACCTCTTTGACCACTATACTGCCAATCCCCTCCAGTGAATGAAATCTGAGTGATAGGAACACGAGCACACTATGACACTTCCTTCTCAGCCAAATACCCCATCTTTTGCAACACCCCAAGGAAATCAGAAATGTAAAGTAATAATAAAAATTTTCCTATTTCTACTCATCAGAAGGGCACATTCCCTCATTAAAGCAACAATAACAACAACAAAATGAAGAACAGGAAAAGGAGGGGATTACTTCCATGTTTGCTTTAGAATGTTCCCCTTTCTCTGGATTTATATATAAAGGTTTGTTATTCCTCCATTAAATAGACTTAACTTTGTGTAAGTTTCAGAGTTCAGGGAAACGATACCGTCAGGCAAAGACCTCTTTCACATACTCACCCTCATGGGGGTACATTCTTTTCTCACTATAACCCACATGCCCTTTGGCTTCCTTGATGATACTGGTTATTATTATTTTACAAGTCATGAAAGACCTAGGATCAAGGCAGCATATGTCCTTATCTATCACATACCCAAGCAACTTGCTTCTTTCTTTAACTCACATGGTCTTCCAATTACCTTACTGGAGTTTCTTGTCTGAGCTTTGCAATATTTCACAAATGGACCAACAAATGCAATTTTGGAGTCTTTTAGATAGGCCTCCTGGAAAAGTACCCCCAAATGCCACACCCAATTCTCCCATTCAGCTGTCTAAAGCAAGATCAGTCATTACCCCAATTCCAAAATGGCAACTATGGTTACCTGTTCAGACGGGGGAATAATGAGGAGGTAAAAACTTGCTCAAATGACCCAAAAGAAAAGTAGCCTGTTTCTTTTGTGGCTAAAAGCCAAAATTGATCTTGCACCTCTTTGGCAGTTTCAACTTTACAGGTGCCATGGATTCCAGAAGCACTGGGGGCTGTGATCCATGGTCTGGCTCCTAAATGATTTTAGTATTACCTCTTTTCAACAATAAAGTCCCACTAGAAAGAAACCCTCTGGGGCAGGAGAGATTGTTTGGTGGTTGAGGGTACTGCTCTTGCAGAGGGCCAGAGTTCTGTTCCCAGCACCCCAATCAGAGGGCTTGTACCGGCCTATGATTCTAGCTCCAGGAGAGCCCTTAGTCTCTCACCTTCTCAGATATGGGTACTCAGATGTACACACACATAATTAAAAATAAGAAAATAATAATTTTAAGAGAGGAACAAAGTCCTCCCTCTGGTCAAAAGAATAGACTCTATGTGGAGACCGAAAATTTTAGTTAGGCCAGATCAATCACTTGGCCCTTAAGCAGGCTGGCTCACCTTAAGCTATGCTACCTTTAGGCAAAATAATATTTCCTTTAGGCAGAATACTTATTCCTTTAATGAGATACTTTACTTTGTCTCCACTTACCACCCTTAGAACAGTCTCTTATATTTTTGGTGGTGACCCTATCCTATAATGACTGAGCCATCTCTCCAACCCTAAAAAATGTGTAGCCCTGGCTGGCCTTGAACTTGTGATCCTCCTGCCTCTGCCTCCTTCATCAAATCCTACCAGTGTACACAAGCACAACCAGCTGGCACAGTCTCTTACAGGGCACAGCCATGCTGCTTCACATGTCTATCCACGGTAATTGCTCAGGCAGATGCAGCTTTTCCTTTTTCTTTCTGTGTCTGCTCTAACTAAGCATGCTTTCCTTAACATGCTGGATTTCCCTGAATTTGTCACTTTCTTATTTGTCCCCTAAAGCTTCTCTGTCCACCATGTGACTGCTAATGTGTCAAACATCTGACCTCCTTTAAACACAAGGACTTTTCTTTCTTTTATTTTTGTCTCCTCCTCTATTTACTCTTCTATTTTACTCCTTTGGGAAGTTGATGAGATTTATGACCCACTCACCCTAGAAGTGTTTCTTTTAAACTCTGATAAAATTGCCTCCATGCTTAGAAAAATAAAATAATTCTGCAACAGAAAAATAAAACCTGGGCATGGTGACACAAACTGTAATCCCATAACTTGAGACATAGAATCAGGATGACCAGGAATCCAAGGCCATCCACAGTCACATAGTGAGTTTGAAGACAGCCCTGTCTCCATTAAGTGAATAAACAAATAATTCTGGCATAGGGGTGCAATGGAGTCAAGAAAACTGAGAGCTTTTGCATAATCCCTGCCAATGTAAACTTAGTGTCAGATTACCACCAGACCAATCAGTCAAAATACCATCCATCTAAAGTGTCTGGCTTCATGCTTGACACAGAGAACAAGAAAGTAGGAGGCAGTGGTATATCTGAAAGTCAACACAGTTATTGAAGCTTTCCATGTGCCTGTGCCAATCGCTTATCCACGCTCCATCTCACTTAGCGCTTATATTTTATTATTGGCTTTCTTACAACTATTATTCTGATTTTAAAGTCTATCAAGTAACTTGCTCAAGGCTACACAGCAAGTAGGGAGCAAACCCACAGGTCTACTCCCAATTACTAGCCCTGTACATCTCTGGAGTCTAATATTAGTCATGACCAGCCTCCCTTCTTTGTTGACTCCAGCGGTAAGGCACAAGGCAAAAGGTGCTAAAAAATCACCACTTTATTTCTAATCGTCTAAGAGCAGCCATCTGCAACCTCATGCTCACTGCACAGTGTGCTTTCTCTAAGTAACTGCCAAAAGATCTGGTCTCCATTAATTACCTCAAGTTCTCCAAGTCCTGGTCTTCACACGGCCGGCTTTCAGTTGTTTCTCCGATACAGGCCTTTCCACCTGAACTGGGCTGGGGATTATTGCATTCTCGGCTCCTTGATTTCTTCCCTTGAACACAGGGGCCCCAAGAGGACCAACAACTCCAACCTCCATCAACACCTCCTGGTAATACAAGAAAGAGGCTCTTGATTTCTGGAGAGCAAGAATTCAGAGCTCAGTGCTGCGCTTGCTGCTGATGTGTTTACTGGGAAACAGGGATAATGGCTTTGTGAGACATTTGCAAAAAGCATATTGTAAAATCAGCAGTGGCTGGGTGTGAATCCAATGATGGTATTTTATTAGTTCCGAGGACTTGGACAAGTCATTCAAACTTCTTGTTCCTTTGTTATTCTCCAAGTACTTCCTAGTGTTCTCTAGCAGGTTTTACTGCAGCCAGAAAGTCTCTTCTCCCTGACTTGAAGTATCCATATCCAGCCTGCTGAAAAAATTCTTGCAATATCTGAAGTTCACTGGCTATTCTGTGTCAAAGTATTTTCATGTACATTGTATCATTTATTTGCTTTTCCAGACAATGAACAAAGGGAATGGAGGGAAACATTACCATTCCCTACTTCTTATTCCAATCCCTACTAGCATAGAAAGCTTCCATTTTAAAAGATAATTGAAAGTTCACCTGTCTGTTAAAAATACTGACTAATGGTACACAATACAAAACTGTAGGGGTTTTCCAAAGAGCTTGCTGTCAGAAAGGCTAGGCAGGAGATCTGCTCGCAAAGAGCTATTTTAAAACAAAGCCTCGTGAGATAATTACGAGAAGTTGGAAGGCATTTTAAACATAATTCTATTCTATAGAGAATTAGAGAACGAGGAGTCAAAACAAGAATGGTGTTTTTAATTTAGACAAGTGAGAAGAGAGAAAAGGACCTCAACCTTAAAAGCTATACTGTGGAGATGGAAAACCGAGGAGTCTAAGAACACAACTTCACATCTGCAAACACAAAGCCGCAGATGCCAAAGGCCAAGGAGAATTCCCTTTCAGTGTGTCCCTCACTGAGCGAAAACCCATTACGCTGACCTGCCTGATTGCCGACAAGGACTCCTTGCTCACACGCCATTCCAAATGTGTATGGTTTGCAGTGACACTGACACTCTGTCCCCACAACAGTAGCGAGGCCACCATTCTGGCAAGGCTGGCAATGGCAAGGGTCGAATTCATCCAGGTATTCCTCGAGAGCCCGCTTCAGGTACAGTCTTTTCACAGAAGCACAGGGCACTTCCTTGACCAGCTCATACAATGGCATCAGCTACAAAGGAAAGACATCAGTCAGTGCTTAGAACTTTCGGGAAGACTGTGCTTCTTACTATAATGTATACACAACCCCATTGAAACAGGAAAAGCCACTCTTGCTTTTATTATAGCTGCCCTGATAGTACATATGTCACAAGACCCCCAGTATAGTTCCCAAAGCAAGAATAGAACCAAATCCTACCTAGGCTGCTTCTTCCTGTTCATATGCACCTATAATAAAGCAATAAAGTGCTTTCTCTGTTTCTCTCTGGGTGTGTCTATGTGTGTCTCTGTCTCTGTATCTCTATCTCTGCTGTTTCTCTCTCTCTCTCTCTCTCTCTGTGTGTGTGTGTGTGTGTGTGTGTGTGTGTGTGTGTCCATGTGACTGTGTGTCTGTGAATCAATGTTACATGTATGCAGGTACCCATGGAAGCAAGAAGAGAATGTCAGATCCCTTGGAGCTGACATTAACTACAGTTAGTTGTGACCCTTCCAACTTGAGTGGCAGGAACCAAAGTGGGGTCTCCCATGCTCCTAACCAATAAGTCATTGCTCCACCTCCCTGTGACAAAGTTTGGTTTATAGACAAGGCAGAATATGAAATTAACAATAATAATTAATAATAAAATGAAACTCATGAATTGCCTATTTCTGGACTTTCTATTAAAAAGTTTCCAGACTGTGAAACTAAGGAAAGTGAAACTGCTGAAAAGTATGTACTACTGTACAATTGTTTCTTGTTTAAAGTAAAATGGGGGGGTTCACTCTCCCTGCAAAAAAAAAATCTCCACAAACCTAGGAAAATTTAGAACAGATAAGGGAAGAATCTTGTTTATATCTTGAGCATGCATTAAATTAAAAAACAAAAAGCCAAAGAACATTCATTGTCTAGTTAATGGAAGATTGTTTTAAAGACAATGTATTATCACCTTCACAAGCACAGAAGAAAAGAAACTGTGCTTAAATTACAGCAAGGAAGCAAGTACAATTACACTTAGACTTAAATTTCCTGTCTCAGAGATTTATTATCTCTTTTCCAGGGACCAAAAGCCCTCTCCTGAAGAAATGTAAATCAGGGAGACATTTTTACTTTATGTTTGTTTATTCATTTGGTTGGTTCTTTTTTTAGAAGAAAAGTAACTTTGAAGTCAACAGTATGATGGCTGAACTTTAACAGCAAGGCTTATGTGGAAACATGCTTTCCCAGGAGCAAGAAGGCTCTGCTTTGTAACAGTTGCTAAAATTTCCTACACACTATTGTAATGGCTACATTCAGATTACCACAATAATATCACCAAGGACTAGACTGGAAGGAGGGACAGCCAGGCTCTTCTGAGCAATGGCCTTCAGTGGTCATAAAGCTGGGTGGTGTCTGCTCTTTTCATTATTCCTTTCCTGTCCAACCAGGAAGATGGTTCATCTGCAACAGTTTTCAGTCCTTGTGGAAAAGGACACAGTTGAGGCTGTGGAAGAATGCCTGCTCTCCTTTCATCAACACTTTGATTGCTAAAGAAAAAAAGGCCCATTCTGAATACTAAAAGGTGGCATGCTTTGACACCTATCCTGGAGATGCTGTCTTCCTCATTTAAGGTAAACAGGTTCCTGGTGTTAGAGACGCTTGAAGGGCTAGTTTAGGTATTATTATTATTATTATTATATAAAGTATGTACATATCTCTTAATTGTTTAAATTAGACATCATCTGGGATATGAACTACCATAAATAAAATAGATCATACAATCAGTTCTACAAAAATGTTCCTTTACAAAACGTGGGTTTGGTCTATTGAGGTTGATACATCTGGGAACAACAAGAACGTTGTGCAAATTTTGTGTGTTCTTATGTGCAGTGTATCCACAAGATTCACAGAGTGAACGAGCACAGAACCTCGCTGCTCAGGAATGCATGTGATATACACACACATCCATGTGTGTTCAGGCATTCATGTTTGCTTACCTGCTGTATTATAAACCATGTACACGCATCTATCCAGTGAACTGTCTACCAGGTTTCTGACTGCTCTACTTCATGTGATCTAAAACACTGTAACACTTCTAGTACCCAAGAAGCTTCAGGATTTTCTAGGCAATATGCCTCATTTATGGCAGCATCAATTCATGTATTAATAATTTAACATGTATAAAACCTTGCATCCATTGTTATCAATGCCACTTTTTTCTAATCAGCATCATAACTAACTTTGAGTGTTGTGGCCCTAACCCCATTTTCCACTATGATCTTTGGTTTTCACTGTACATGTTTGCATAACTCAGTAGGATTGGGTTTGGGGAGGGTGGGTAGGATTCTGTGCTCTTATTTTGTTGTTGTTGTTTGGAATACATATATTGTGCCATAAAATAAGACTCACTTTTGTGGTAGAACACCCTCAGCTTTGCCAGGCATTTGGTGCTACTGTTATCTACGTGACTTCAGAGCCCATGAGCTACGCACAGGAGGAGAAGTAATCTGACTGACAGATGTAACAGCAAGTGAGTCTATCTGCCTCCCTCTGGGGAAATCTGTAACCCCATCTGGATTGGAGCCAAAGAAAATATGACCAAGGTGCTGCTAGCAAGATGACTTGATGGATAAAGGTACTTGCCCAACAAGCCTGACAACCTGAGTTCAGTCCTCAGAACCCACACAAAGGTGGAAGGAGAGAACTGATCCACAAAGTTATCCACTGTGGTGGTTTGAAAGAAAATGTCCCCCAAAGACAATGACACTATTAGAAGGTGTAGCTTTGTTGGACTAGGTATAAAGGAAGTATGTCACTGTGAAGGAGGGCTTTGAGGTCTCATATATGCTCAAAATACTACCCAGTGGCTCAGTTCACTTCCTGTTGCCTGCAAGATATAGGACTCTCAGCTACTTCTCCAGGTCTGTCTGCAGACCCCATGTCCCACTATCATGATAATAGACTAAGCCTCTGAAAATGTGTTTTCCTTTTATAAGAGTTTCTGTGGTAATGGTGTCACTTCACAGCAATAGAAGCCCTAACTAAGACACATACATCATCCTCATACACTGATAATAAAGCAAAGAAAGTAAATTTTCTAAAGAAAACAAAATCACATTTAAGGCAAAAATAAAAATACAAATTCCCTCACTAATTTGCCTTGGGGTTTACAGGACATTTGAGCATTACTGCTGATCTATGAACAAACCACATCCTCTGTTTTTTATTATCATGTATGCATTCATTTTACTATATAAAGCATAATTGGGATGCAGGAAATGCTAATTGCAGCCAATTCTGTTTAATCACCTTGATGTAATCTCATTTTCCCAACACAAATAAACATGACTGTTCCCCACCACTTCAAACAGAGCATCCCATACCTTTTGTTTTATGACTTGGGGAAGATGGGTTACAGATTCAGCCCAGGAAGAATACCGCTGTTTGTTTCCAGCAGGATTATCCAGCTCCAGGAAGCTAAGGTCAGATACAAAGCCCGGACCTCCACCTCTGACAAAAGGTTCTCCTTGAAGCTTCCTGTTCTGGCTTCCTATGCAGGAGGAAACAAGTGAAATACATCAGCATAAGTCAGCATGCACAGATAAACAAAATTAACAATTAAAAGTGCAAAGTGTGTCAAGTGTTTTTAAAATAAACACCCCATCCAACTGTGTGGCATATTGAGAAAAGCAAAACCTAAAGACAATAGAATGATGGACAGACAGGACACACAGATTGTTAGAGAAGCTAATCCGTTCTGTACAACACTACAGTGATTATTATCCATCAAGACATACTTGAGAGAAACCCATAAAATATACAACACCAAGAGCAAACTGTAATGTCAGTGAGCATTTATATTAGAAGATGATACGTCTATGTAGATTCATCAGTTTCAACAATTGCTTCACTGTAGCACTGCAGCTAGTGTGAGAGGTTTGTGGGCAAAGTATACGGCAAATCTTTATATTTTCCTCTTGATTGTGCTGTGACTCTCAGTGGACATAAAAACTAAGATTGAAACGTATGCAGCTAGGGATACAATTTAGTTAATGGAGCATTTGCTAACCCTTGGGAAACCCTGCGCTCACACCTGCACTACGTAAAACTAGTTATGGAAGCAAGCAAGCCTATAATCTCAACATCCCTTCGGGAGGTAGAGAGATCAGAGGTTCAAGGTCATCCTCTACTACATAAAAGTTGAACATCTGCCTGAGATACATGAGACCCTATCTAAGTGATGATGATGATGATAAAAATGATGAAGATGAAGGAAGAAGATATCTATGGACTGACATGGAGGATATTATAAAATTACTGCTAGTTTTGAATGCTTAGTTCAACAAGAACATCATGCATGCTTTGCAGAAGAATATCATTAGAAGCATACATATATTAAAGGATGAAGTATTATGAAGGTGAAACATACTTTCAAATAATTCCATAACTCACATAAGCATTTTAAATACATGATCATTGGTGCTGCTAAATAACCTGTTGATATTATAAATATTTACATATATTTGTGGCAAAATGTCAAAATAGTAATTGCTATGTATAGGTAATAGGTATGTAAACAACTGCTATATTCCTTACATTTTCTATATTTGAAATTCTCTGTGATAAAATATTGAAGAAAAAAACAACCCTAGGTCTAGCATATTAACAATTTTTTAAAAGCTGTTAATTAACAGGAATACATTACCTAAAACATGAAAAGTGTTCTGAAAAGTTTGAATGCTAATTGAATTCCTATTTTCTATTTATGTACCTCATAATTTCAGACATATTTTTATCTCCACTTATAACTGGTTCTTACAAAGTTCACAATCAGATATTTTAAATCTTACAGATCACATTTTGAGTGATTTCCACTTCCTTTCTTGTAACTGCCCAAATTTTGCAGGTTCATCAAATGAACACACTGTACTTTTATAATGAGAAATTATGAAAGCCTGGTATTTTTAATAAATTATCTGAGTGCCTCCTCATTTTCATTGTTAATCCTGGTTTGATATGCAAATAGCAGTCTTTTTAATGCAATATCTCACAAGTCCAAGCCCTGAGCTAATGAATCACCACCATATGGGGTGACTGCAGGTTTCTGAGCTCAAGAAAGACCTATAACAGAATATCTGCTTGGGTTGGGAAGATGGCTTAGTGGTTAAGAGCAGTGACTGTTCTTCCAGGGTATACAGGTTCAATTCCCAGCACCCACATGGAGGTCACACTGTAACTCTAAGATCTGACACCCTCACACAGATACACATGCAGGCAAAGCACCAATTAAATTAAAGTAAATAATCGTTGTTATTTTTAAAAGGAGAAAAAGAGAATGTTTGAAGGAAAATGCCTCAGAATCTACATTTCCTTTCCTCCCCCAAGTGACACTTTTGAGCATGAAAGACTGGGACTCACTGCCTTACTGACATGCCAGGATAAGATGAGCAGGTTCTACAAAACAGGTGCAATTTTTAAGCCTGTGTGCTCTGTCTCCAGACCCCATGAACCCTCTATTCTAACTAACTCATCCCACCCCTCCAACCCGAGAAAGCGTGGCAAATGCAGCAACAAATTACCCAATTCCAGGTAGACCGATGGAATCGAACTGAACACCCTGATATTAACCCATACATGTATGAACATTTGATTTTTTACAAAGAAGCTAAAAATATACAATGGAAAAAAGAAAGCATCTTCAACAAATGGTGCTGGCATAACTGGATGCTGGCATGTAGAAGAATGAGGATAGATCCATGTCTATCATCATGCACAAAACTTAAGTCCAAATGGATCAAAGATGTCAACATAAATCCAGCCACACTGAACCTGTTAGAAGAGAAAGTGGGAGGTACCCTTGAATGAATTGGTACAGGAGACAGCTTCCTGAACATAACACCAGTAGCACAGACACTAAGATCGACAATTAATAAGTTGGACCTCCTGAAACTGAGAAGCTTCTGTAAGGCAAAGGATACAGTCAGCAAGACAAAAAGGCAGCCCACAGATTGGGAAAAGATATTCACTAACCTCACATCTGACAGAGGGCTGATCTCCAAAATTTACAAATAGGCAAGTCTCCAAAACACCAAAGGATCTAATCAAAAAAATGGGGTACAGAACTAAATAGAGAATTCTCAATAAAGGAAACTAAAATGACCGAGAGACACTTGAGAAAGTGCTCAACATCCCTAGCCATCCAGGAAATGCAAATCAAAACAATTCTGAGATACCATCTCACTCCTGTCAGAATGGCTAAAATCAAAAACACCAATGACAGTTTATGCTAGAGAGGATGTGGAGAAAGGGGAGCACTCCTCCACTGCTGGTGGGAGTGTCAACTTGTACAACCACTTTGGAAATCAGTATGGCGATTCTTCAGGAAAATGAGAATCAGTCTACCACAAGACCCAGCAATTCCACTCTTAGGCATATACCCAAAAGATGCACATTCATACAACAAGGATGTCTGTTCCACTATGTTCATAGCAGCATTATTTGTAATAGCCAGAACCTGGAAGCACCTAGATGCCCCACAACTGAAGAGTGGATAGAGAAAATGTGGTGCATTTACACAACGGAGTACTATTCAGCAGAAAAAAACAATGGAATCTTGAAATTTGCAGACAAATGGATGGCACTAGAAGAAACTATACTGAATGAGGTAACCCAGTCACAAAACGAGAAACATGGTATGTACTCACTCACTTATGGATTTTAGACATGAATCAGGGGCGTGCCAACATACCATCCCACTGTCAGAGAGTCTAGGAAACAGAACCTTCATCTAGTGACTGATGAAAGCAGAGGCAGATACCCACAGACAAACACTGAACTGAACTCCTAGAATCCATTGTCAGAAAGAGAGACCTGATGGGCAAAGGAGTTAAGAGTGGGCTGGTTTAACCCACAGAAACAGTTGACCTGAACAAGGGGGAACTCTTGGATCACCCAGATTGATGGCTGTGTGGAAAGCATGAGACTGACCCAGACCCCCTGAATGTGGGTGTCAGTGAGGAGGCCTAGGTAATCTATGGGGTCTTGGGTAGTATTTACCCCTGGCACACAAATAGAATTTGAGTGCCCATGCCACAATATGGGAGGCTCTCTCAGCAGGGACTCTTGGGGGAGGGCCTAGGCCCTGCCCTGGATAAAATGACAGTTACTGGAGATCCACCATGGAATACCTCATCCTCCTTGGTGATCAGAGTGGAAATTGGGTGGGGGACTGGGGAACCTGGTGGGGAGGGCAGGGGAGGAGGGGCAGGAGAGGGAGCTGGGATTGACATGTGAAACAAGATTGTTTCTAAACTAAATAAAAAAATAATTTAAAAAAAGAACCCAATTCCATGCATTTATATTTGTAGCAAGCTTTCTTGTTGGACTATGTTTGGACTGCCAGCCTGCAAATAATGACCCAGACACGTATTATTAATTATGAAAGCCTTTGCTGAGGCTTTTACCTAACCAGTTTTTATAACTTAAATTTGCCCATATTTTTAATATACATTATGGCTTGTGGTTTGTTACCTCACCCCCTTCTGCTCATCCTGCTTCCTCCCTGTATGGCTGGGTGACTGCACCTTTCTTCTTCCCAGAGTGCTCTCTGTCCCTGGAAATCCCACTTAACCTCTTCTTGCCCAGCTATTGGCCATTCATCTCTTTATTAAACCAATCAGAAGGCACTTTAGGCAGAGACACATCTTTACAGTGTAAACAAATGTTCCACAACACACATCTCATGTTTTTGCTAGGTGTGACCTTGGGTGATCTTGTATTTCAGTGTGTCTATATATAGAATGGGAATATAAATTCCAAATATCTCATAGATAGGAGTACATTGGTTAGCTTTTATAAATCACTTAGAATTGTTCTGGAAGAAATAAGTTTTATGTGTTTATTAAATGCAAACCTATAAGACTTGGCAATGGATGAGTCAGTGAGCAGCTTTCTGCTGCTAGCACAGTGGACATCTGATGTCAACACCTTCCCAGAGCTTCCCTCTCCACCTCTGCATCCAGGGAGCTATTTTTCTAAGTCATTCCGAAGGAGCTGAGCGGAGTAGTGGGAGGGTCTGAAGGGAGGTAACATGGGAAGAATTGGAAGGAGGAAAGGGAAGGGAAAATGATGCAATTACACTTTAATATATTTTTCAATTTAAAAAAATATCCTTCTGGTCTAGCCCTGTAATCAGATTGGTGAATACCCCAACTGTCATCATAGAGTCTTCATCCAGTAATTGATGGAACCAGATGCAGAGATCCATAACCAAGAACCAGGCCAAGCCCTGTGAATCCAGACAAAGGGAGAGAGGAGGGAATACATAAGCAAGGCAGATCAAGATCATGATGGAGAAATCTATACAGACAGCTGAACCAAGCTTGTGGAAGCTCATGAACTCTAGACCTAAAGCTGTGGAGACTCTGGGGGACCCAACTAGGTCCTCTGCATATGGGAGACAGCTGTGAGGCTTGAACTAGCTAAGGGACCCCTGGCAGTAAGACCACAATACAAACCTGGTACTTGAGCTAGCTTGTTGGAGCCCACTCCCTATGGTGGGATGCCATGCTCAGCCTTAATGCATGGGAGAGGTGGCCTGGCCCTGCCCCAACCTATTGTGTCAGACTATGTTGACTCCTTATGGGAGCCCTTACCCATTGGAGGAGTGGACTGAGTGTGGGCTGAGTGGAGGTGAGGTGTGGGGGAGGAGGGGTGGGAAAGAGAACTGTGGTTGGAAGGTAAGATGAAATTTAAATGTCTTAAAAAATATTCATTAGCCACATAAGTTCCCTTGAACTGAATACTTTCCCTGGCCTTGTCATCACCATATCTTTGGTGCCTAACACCTCTCCCAAAGATCCCTGTTACCTCGCTGAACACTACAGCATCCTAGGTCAGCCTTCATTCCTATTTCTACCCTCATCCCCAAGAAGATTTAAGCTCTAACACTGCCAAGTCAACCACCTTATAGAAGGCACTGGTATCTTGTCTCCCTCCTTCTCATGTGACAGAACCCCTTCCTTTTATGGAAACTGTGCTTTAACTCCACACTAATAGATGTTTATTTTCTGCTCTTGTCTAGCTTGACTTTTTTCCAGCTCTTCGCTGCTTATTTCTCACTCCTTTGTTTCCTTCTCTTCCATCTGTGCTCTGTTCCTCCTCCTTCTCTGCAACTATACCCATGTAAGCTTAATTACTCCTACTTTAATTTGTTTTGATGGCACCCAGAATAAAAATCTAATTCCTTAGCCGGACGGTGGTGGCGCACGCCTTTAATCCCAGCACTTGGGAGGCAGAGGCAGGCAAATCTCTGTGAGTTCGAGGCCGGGCTGGACCAATAGCCTCCAAAACAATGCAGAGAAACCCTGTCTCGTAAAAACCAAAAAAAAATCTAATTCCTTAACACCATGCCTGTATAATCTATATCAGATGATGTGTATAATACTATCAGCGAAGTTGTAGGATACAAAATTAACACAGAAAAATCAGTAGCTCTCCCATATACAAAAGACAAAATAGTCCACGAAAAAAAATCAGTGAAACATTACCTTTCACAATAACCTCAAAACAATTAGTTATCTTGCAGTAACTCTAACTCTAAGCAAGCAAGTAAAAGGCTCATATAATAAAACCTTAAGATATTGATGAAAGAAATTGAAAACGACACTAGAAGATAAAAAGAACTCCTATGCTCATGGATTGTTAGGTATAACATGGTGAGAATGGTCATTCTACCAAGGGCAATCTACAGATTCAATACAATCCCCATCAAATTCCAACAATCTTCCATCTACTGTGAAAACACAAACAAATAAATCCTGAATAATAAAAGAACTGCAGGAGGTGTCTCCATCTGAGATTTCATGTTATATTGCAGAGCTCTAGTAATAAAAATATCATGGTATTGCATGAAAATTAACACTTTGATCAATGTAATTCAATTGAATATCTAGACATACTCCCACACACCTATGCATACCTAATTTTTTCACAAAGAATCCAAAAACACACAGTAGAGAAAAGACAACATCTTCAATAAATGATGATAACTAAAATGGATGACTCCATGTAGAAGAATGCAAATAAATCCATACTCATCACCCTGCACAAAACTCAACTACAAATGGATCAGGGATCTCAACGTAAGACAAAATATCTGAATCTAAAAGAAGAATAAGTGAGGAATAACCTTGAACTCATTGGAACAGGAGATGACTTTCTGAACAGAACACCAGTAGCATAGGTCCAAGATCAGCAATTTCATGAAACTGACAAGCTTCTGTTTCAGCAAAGGACACCATCATTCAGACAAAGTGACAGTCTACAGAATGGGAGAAGGTCCTTCTCAGTTACACATCTGATAGATGGTTAATATCCAAAGTATATAAAGAACTTAAAAAGTGAACATCAAGAATGCAACTCAATTTTAAACAGGTATTCAGAACTAAGCAGAGAATTGTCAAAAAAACTGAAACATAAATGGCTGAGAAACACTTAAAGAAACGTTCAACATCCTTAGCCAATAGGGGAATGAAAATTAAAATTACTTTAAGATTTTATCCTAACCTAGTCAAAATGACCAAGATAAATTAAAAAACAAGAAATTACAAAAAAATTCACATTAGTGATGGTAAAAACTCCTCCATTGCTAGTGGAAGTACAGCCATTATGAAAATCAGTGTGGGGTTCCTCAGGGATCCGGGACTATGTCTATCTCAAGATCTAATTATGCCACTCTTGGGCATATACACAAAGGACTCTACAGCTTACTATAGAGATACTTGTTCATCCATGTCCATTGCTACTCTATTAATAATAACCAGAAATTGGAAACAAGCTGGATGTTCATGGACAGATGTATAGATAATGAAAACTTAATACATTTACGGAATGGAATATTATACAGCTGTTAAGAAAATTAAATTTACATGTAAATGGATAGAGCTAGAAAAATCATCCTAAATGAGATAACCCAGAGTCCAAAAGATAAATACCACATGTTTTCTCTCACATGTGGATGTTCACTAGGTATGCTACAACTGAGATAATCATAGGGGTTAGGTGCTTAGTTAGAGACCAGAAGAGAGGAGAGGATCCCCCAAGAAAAGGGAAATAGTACTATGGAGAGATAAAGGGGAAACTGGAATAAAATTATTAAACAGGGAAGGGGATGAGAGAGAGGGGAATACAGGGAGGGATAATCACCCCTAAAGGTCATTTGGAAAAACATGAAAATCTACTACTATTGAAGTATACATATACATATATCAATATAGAATATAAATAAAATCACCAAATAGGGGAGAGGATGCCTCACCTAGATGTCTTATACCACTAGGTAATGTTCCTGGAACTCATTCCAGCTCCAGGAACTTACATCTTGTTGAATTGTTGGCCGAAGGTGCCCCATGGAAAACTCCAAACGTCACAGGCTATTGCCAAGGCTATTGGTTGCTCTTTACAATATGATGGCGAGGCCCTATTGCTGAGTACAACATTTACTTATGTTGTCAAGTGTGGAGAAGTCAAACTAATTCCTAACTAGAAGCTTCACCCCTACTGACTAGTGTTCGTTGTGGTTGACGGTACTCTGTAGACTACTGAAGGAGAAAGGTAATCATCAATATCACCCAGCTACAAACCTTTCAACATACAATAGCGAACTACAAGTTAGTGGTACAAAGGTTATGGTAGTAATTAACTACTTTATTTAAGGCCCACCCTGTGAGATGGAGCCATACCTAACACTGCTACAATGGCCAAGAACCTGAAGAAAGACAGGTCATTTGGCCTAGGAGAGAAACTACTATTATTCTGCTAAAGGAAAATAGCAAAAACATGACTTCTACTGACATACTGTTAAACACATAGGATAGATGTAGTTCAGCCCTTCCTGATCAGAGAAGCTTCTTCTTGCAGTAGATGGGAATTAACATAGAAATCACAACTGGAAAATGTGCAGGAAGTGACAGACTTTGGAGAACTCAGTCCTAAATGAAATGTCTTATCAAGCTCCTCCCCTCAAGGCTCAGGGATCTATGGGGAAGAGGACGTGGAAAGATTTAAGAGCCAGCAATGATGGATAGCTGAAAGGAAACAGTGTCTTCCAGACACAACAGGACTGGTGCACATACGACCTCATAGAGATGTGGCAATATGCATAAAACCTGCACAGAATCTGGTCAGATGGGGTCCCATCAGTGAAATGAGAGTGGGCATGTGGCGTTCTGATCTTCTACAAAGATTAGAATATTACATACTATTATGTTATCCATTAAGAATTAATTTAGCTGGCCTTGCCAATCACCTGGCCAAGAGACCACCCCTCAGGAAGGCTCAGTCACTTTAGGGCATGCTAAAGAGATGGAATAATTATCCCCTTAGTGAGATAATGCACTTTTGTTTCACAGACTTTGTCTTTGGAGCAGTCTCTTACATGGACTCTCCTACACAGCTCTGCTATGTCTGCCTGTGTTCCTTAGGCCCAACTCCAAAGAGGGCATCTGTTCTTTTTTTTTCTTTACTTTTTCTTTCTGAGCCTGGCCAAAGCCTAATCATGTTTGCTCTGGCATTTTGGTCTTTCCCACTCTTTCTCTACAACTGTCCAACCACACACTTTCTACCATGTAGCTCCACTGCTGAGCATGCTCAGAAGGCACGGCTTTCTATCTTCTGGCAACTTACAGCCCACCTTCCCTGCTGTTTTCTTTCAAGCTTGTTCACAAGCTTCCTAATCAGCCCAGTTTTAAATTCTTTAATCAACAATACTAGGAATCTAAAGAGGCCCTAATTTCACTGGTCCTATATAGTACCCAACATGGAGGTCCCCAAATTTTCCAGTGACAGAAGGATAACCATGAGCCCAGAGATTCATAACCAAATAGATTTCTTTAAGCAAAATACCTGCTAAAGATTAAAAATCCCTGGAGACCAAAAATTAATTAATTATAAGACCAAGGCTAAGCTAGTAATGCAAATTGGACTCCTTCTCATTTACCTGAAGCTGATTTGAAAGCATCATCCAGTTCCTTGCATCTTTTATCCGATGTGACCACAAAAAAGGACCGTAAATCCGAAGAAGAACATTCCTTCCCCTGGGCTGACCCAAAACCTGGGAAGAAATGTGAAAGACAAGCTTTAGTTTCAGTGTTCATTAAAGAAGTTCTTTGGGATGTAGACAGGGGTGGTGGAAACAGGACCAGAAGTGGTCTCCAGCTGCCTGTGGCAATTTTATTAAGGAGTAACAAAATATGGGCAGTTTCAAGTGCTCTCTAAGGGCAAAGTTCAGAAAAAAGAATAGTTGGATTTCATTATTTCCCTCCTATTAATTTTGGCTAAAGGGTTGGAGTGGGGAGAAATCCCAAGTAATTTTCACATAAATGAGTAGAGGGAGAGGAAGCTAAAACTTCAAAGAGTTATACCTCTTACTCACTCAACAAATAGATAAACACAGGAGTATGAGGGCTTCCCACTCACTAGAGATTCTAAAAGATGAATTATAAGCCTATACAAATTAATTCCTAAACTCCTGGCCCTACTCACTTGGCCTCTTGGTCAGTATCTGTGGTTCCTAATGAAAGGGATTAGGAGCAAGATAGCCCTCCTTTGTAGGCAGTTTGGTCAGGGGTACAAGCCTAAAGGAAACAAACATCTACACACCCTGGTGGAACAGGTAGTCAATGCCACGAGAATCAAGGTTAACAAGAGGCTCCACCTAATCGTTGAGCAGAAGAACTAAACCCAGAAAGCTCTGACTCATCAAGAGTCTGTCCATCTCTTGATGTACATCTAGGCTGACCTCAGATTTTAGTCATTCTGAATATAATTGATGTCATCAACAGTGCAAGTCTCTTCAGGATGCTGACAAGTCTTTTGCTTTTATTTCCAGCAGTGACATAGCTAGATCATATGGTAGGTCTATTTTCAGTTTTTCAATACTGATTTCTGCAGTAGTTGGATGAACTGATGGCCATATCATCACTGTATAGGGCTTTCTCTATATCCTCAATGATGCTTGTTGTTTTCTTAATGATTGCTATTCTCACTGGAGTAAGATGGAATCTCAATGCAGTTGTAATCTTGGATTTAAGAGTGAAACTAAATTTATATCAAGCCATATGCAAGAAAGTCTTTCAAAGAAATAATGCTTTTGTCTGCTATGAAAACAAAACAATATTTGTGCATTTGCTTTCAACCTATGAAACAGGAGAAGTTCAAATTCTATTTAAATTTAACTGATAAGAAACTGAAAATGTCCAGCGGAAGCAAGGAAAGTATTATAATTATCCCATAAGGAAAAACTACAAGCTCCCCTTAAATCCCATGTAAGAATTCTTACTCATCTTCAAGATCATAACAGACTCTTTGCTCAAGTAGAAGACCTTGAAGAGATGGGTTGCAATGAAGGAAGTGTGGGCAACTGCACACGGTGAAAGAGAAGGTTTGAAACATTAGTTGGGCATACAGAAAATTCTCTGGAGAGAAGGAACAATGAAAGTGTCCCTCATCTGAGCAGATGGTGAGGGCCGTCATTTCCAGCTGGAATCCCCAAAGCAGGAATTCCAGTGGCATGTTCGTTTTCTAACAAAATCAGTCACCTTTAGCAGCACAGGAGAAAGCTAGGTTGATTATGGTACCAGTTCATTCTGGCTTCAAATCCCTTCCTTGTAATCTATGCGACCTCAAAGAGTTGCATCAAAACACCACATCTCTATTTCTCAGTGTGTGTGTTGAGGGTGGAAATGGATCACAGTGCCCTCCTCCTAAGATGGGAGTGAGGATTCTGGGTATCAGTGTGACTTAGTTCTCATGAACTAATCCCAGACTAGAGTCACCTGGAGAGAGGAAGCATTGATTGAGGAATTGCCTCCATCAGATTGGCCTGTCTTTTGGGGCATTTTTTACGAATAATTGATATAGGAGGGCCCAGTCCACTGTGGGAGGTGCCATCCTGAGCAGGTGTTCATGAGATGTGTATGAAAGCAAGCTGAACAAGCTAAGTAGAACAAGCCAGTAAGCAACATCCCTCCATAATCTCTACCTCTAGTTTCCTGTCTTCACATTCTTGTTTCATTTCCCTTGATAATGAACTGTATAACTTGTAAGCCAAATAACACCCCCAAAAAAATAAATATTGTTTAAAGGACACCAGGAAATTTGAAGGCAAGTGAATTGAACTAGAAAAAAATTGTCCTGAGTGAGGTCACCCAGACTGAGAAAGACAGACATGGCATGTACTCACTCATAAGTGGATTTTAGCTGTAAAATAAAGGATAACTACACTACAATCCACAGACCCAGAGGAGGGTGATTATTATGGGGGGGATGCCCAGACTTCCCTAGGAAGAGGAAACAGAAGAGATTTTGTAAGTGAACTGAGGTGGGGATGGAAACATTAATTAACAGGTTGGGGGGGCAGAGGGAGAGTACTGAAAGAGACTACTGGAAAGGGGGAGCATCTGGGGAGACCAGGTTAAAAATCTGGCATGAGGGAATCTCCCAGTCATCTACAAGAATGACCCTGGCCATTTTCCCAGACCAGATTGGTGCCTAGCCCATCTGTCATCAGAGAGGCTTCCTCCAGCAACTGATGGAAATAGAGACCCACAGTCAAACATTAGCCAGAATTCAGGGACTACTGCAGAAGAAGGGGTGAAAGGACTGTAGGAGCCAGAGGGGTCAAGGACATCACAAGAAAACACACAGAATCAGCTAACCTGGGCTCATGGGGGCTTACAGAGACTGAACCAACAATCAGGGAGCCTGCATGGTACTGACCTAGGCACTCTGCATGTATGTTACAGGTGTGTAGCTTGGTCCTCTTGTGGGACTCCTAACAGTGAGAACAGGGGCTGTCTCCAACTCCTTTACTGGCTTTTGGGATCCTACTCCTCATACTTTGCTTTGTCCAGCCTTAATACATGGGGAGGTGCTTAGTCTTACTGAAACTTGATATGCTATGTTTTGTTGACAGTCAAGGGAATCCTGTCCTTTCCTAAACAGAAACTGAGGGAGAGTGGACTGGAGAATGAGAATGGAGGATGGTGCGGGGGAGTAACTTTGAGGAGAGGAGGGAGGAGAAACTGCAGCAGAGTATAAAATAAATTTATTTCAAAAAAAGAAATACTGTTTAATCTTGACAACAAATTCTGGAGGAGATAAAAAGAACCCTGTCCATTACTGTTGGGAATGTATAGCTCCAATGCAAAACAGGATGAAGCTACCATATGTGCCTCCACCACCCCTGGTACTCCTATATCGTGAGGACGGACTCTGTGTCAATACATACTGAGAGATACATGCACATCTGTTTTTATTGTGACATTATTCATGTCACAATAGAAGGATATGGAACCAGGCTAGATGTTCATCATCAGATGAATGGATAAAGAAAATGTATATAAGCACAATGGAATTTTATTCTGCTAGAAAGAAAAATGACATTTGCAGGACATTGAAGAAACTATAAATCACCATGTTAAATAAAACTAACCAAAATCAGAAAAACAAATGCTAATAGTTTTCCTTCTGTGGAAGCTAGATTTCAATATGGGGAGAGTAGGGGGAAAGAGAGGGGAGGATTAGAGATGGCCCATGAGAGAAGTAATCTTGAGAAAGGAGAGTGATGGAATATATGTGACACAAAAGTAAAGGGACTATTATAGGAGGTGCGAATAGATAAGAAGAGGGATGTGGGCTACAGAGAAAAGGCCATGAATGAGGGGGATAAATGAGAACAAATTATGTATGAAGATGTGTAACAAAACCATTGCTTTGGAAGCTAACTTAGACATCTACTTAAAAAAAGAAGTACTTTTTAATCAGAGAAATGGGAAAGATTGTAAAGTATTATAAAATTTAACACTCTCTAGAGACAGCCAATGATGGTAATGGCTGAACTAGATATTATTCAAAAGAGTAGGCAGACATTTCTTAAACCATGGGGAACTTTAAGTAGAGTATAATAGATTCCTGCAATGTTGGGCTCCTCTGCAGTTTAAGTCTCTATCGAATTTCACAGCTTAAACGTTTATGCTAACCATGTATACTCTCCCTTTTAAAATTTTCAGATGTGTTCAGGTAATATGTTTAATACCATACCACTGTGTTTGCTATATCCTGAGTCCACATAAAATAGAACTCTGTATTCTCCTCCTAAGGACCCGGACTGCAGATAGTGTGTCCCATACTGGTCAATTAACCGTCGGTAGGCACTGTAGTCATATAGAGTGGGAAGATGGGAGAGTTCCTTCCAGAATGGTTCAGCAAGTTGTAAAAATTCAGGATTATTGTTAATGAACTGGGCCACTTCTACACTGTTCCGAACAACCAGCAATTTATAACTCTGTGGGGAAAAGAAAGAGCAAAAGGAGTTTTAGGTAGAAGATGAAAAGATATGAAAAGTAGTTCCCTATCCATCAGCTTGATCAGCTGCCAATTCCCAAGACACAGCACTAGTTTTCTCAACTTGTAATGAGGTTTCTGCTGAGCTCACCTTCATGAAGTACCCTGAAGATATCTGGAGCCCAAATAAGGATGGTATCTGAGGTAAGGAGGATATCTGAGCAATGCTCATCTGGACTAGGAAAAGAGAACTGACTGCATTATGCCTGCCTAAGTAGTTTTGAAGAAAGTGTTCAAAGTAATATATTTTAGAGTCACATTTGGGTCATAACTTATAGGTAAGGAGAATATATTGCTTATATCTCATACAAGGATATTTATAGGTTAAGCTATTTATTTAATGAGGTCTTTTGAACTTTTCCAAATAATCTTTTAATAATTTTCAAGGCAGACCTTGCACTAAATCCCTACATGTGAGCAGTGTAACACAGAGATGATAAACATCTTTACTCATTGGTATTCCACAGCCAGTTTCTTAGTTATAAAACCAATAAGTCTGGTTTCTGCATGCTTTTCTTTCATGATTAAACAAACTGTTAGGTTTATAAAGCAATCAGGCATCATGGGTTATGCCTATTAACCCAGAATTCTAGATCCTGCCTCAAAAAAAAAGAATGAAGGAAGGAGGGAGGGAGGGGAGAAGATGGGAGGGAGGGACGGAGGGACGGAGGGACGGAGGGACGGAGGGACGGAGGGACGGAGGGACGGAGGGACGGAGGGAGGGACGGAGGGAGGAAAGGAAATGGGCAAAGGGAAATAATGAAACAAGCCAGGCACAATGGTACACACCTGTAATCCCAGCACTTGAAAGGTAGAAGAAAGATGATCAGTAGTTCAAAGCTAGCCTCAGCTGCATAACAGATTCAAGGGAAAACTAAGACTACACAAAACCTGTCTCAAATAATAATATTAGTAATAATAATAAAAACAAATATTTAACTAGAAAAAAAGATAAATATATTGTCATAAATAACAAAAAATATCATACTTTTAAAGAATGTATTGTTGGGGGAGGGCCTAGGCCCTGCCCTAAATGATGGGACAGACTTTGATGATTCCCCATGGAAGGCCTCACCCTCCCTGAAGAGTGGACAGGGGTGGAATGGGGGGGATTGGTGGGGGTATAGGAGGATGGGAGGGAGAGGGAACTGGGATTGATATGTAAAATAAGATTGTTTCTAATTTAAATAAAAATTTATGTAAAAAAAAGACTTCATTGTCTCTTAAAGGAGTTATTTTTGCCTTAATGTCAATCAGAAAACTAGTACTTTTGACAAATACACTTTTGTTAATGTTAATAACACTCAATACCAGTTAAGAACAGAAAAAAAATTAGTTAAGGTTTCATACTAACCTTTTTCATGTAGACTTCCTTGGTCTTTGAATTATGACTGTTGTGATCAGATGAGGAAGAGAAAAATAATATCTTGCTTGACGAAGATGATTTGTATTCTCTGGATGTCTGCTTTATATATGCCCAACTGCTATTATAAAACTCGTAGTCAAAATCATTATTTATTTTGACCTGTAAGGAAAAGAATTTCTACTATAACTAATTAAGGGTGTGATACACATCCAAGATGCTTTAGTTGTATCAATTAAGATGCTTGTTTTCAGGTCTGGAGAGATGGCTCAGCAGTTAAGAGCCCTGACCATTCTCCCAACTTCAATCCCTAGCAGCTAAAACTATGTGTAACTCCAAGATCTGACACCCTTACCCAGACATACATGCAGGCAAAACACCAATGCACATAAAATAAAAATAAATAAATATATAGATAAATAAAATTAAAATGACATGACAGACTCTGGAGACCCACCATGGAGGGCCTCACCCTCCCTGAGGATCGGAGTGGAGATTGGGTGGCGGACTGGGGGGGTCTGGTGGGGAGGAATGGGGAGGAGGGGAGGGAGAGGGAGCTGTGACTGACATGTGAAACAAGCTTGTTTCTAATTTATTTTTTTTTTAAAGGAAAAAAACAAATAAATAAATAAAATAATTTTTTAAAAAGATACCTGCTTTCTTCACACAGTCTCCCACAAACACAAGTCTCTACACTTATACAAAACAACTGTGACTGGCATCAAAGCCAGGCCTGTCTACAGGCATTTGTTCTAAGACAATTCTGCTGCGCAGGAGCTATAGTATCCAATAATAGCAACTCCACATGACTCACAAAACACATTTGTCCACAAATGCATTCTGTTTTCTTTACTCAGCATTTAGCCTAGAAGTGAGCAAATTCATACAGCTATATCAACAGAGAACTTGAAGCATTCGGCTCTTGAAAAAAAAAAAGACATCAGTAGGAGAAGAGGAGAGACCACAAACAGGAATGCAAGTGAATATGAACAAAACAGGATGGCAGACACATCTGAAAATACCATGGTACAAGCGTTGCAGCTCACAGGGGTAATCCCATCACTTCAAAGGCTGAGTGTTGCAGGGTGGGGTTATAACACATTTGAGGCTGGGCTACTTTGTGAGTTCCAGGCAGACTGAGTTACAGAGTGAGACTAGTTCAAAGAAAGAAAAATAAATAATGAAGGGACACATCATAATGAAACATTGTTTCATAGGCACACATACTAAACACAGAAACCAAGGAGAGGTTTTCAGAGAGAAGACACTGCCCGGGGAAGAACTATGAAGGCTAAGATGAAATGGGAAGGCAGCAAAAAGCAAATGAAATGTACTGATGGCAACAAAGAACAAGTTGAAGAAAAGGTCTCCATGATGTTGAATGATGGGTATGTCAATAATAAATTGAGTCAAAATACCTGGGATGAGGGTGCTGGAGAGATGCACGGTGGTTAAGAACACTGGCTGCTCCTCCAGAGGTCCTGAGTTCAATTCCCAGCACCCACAAGGTAGCTCAAAACCATCTATAATGAGACCCAGTGCCCTCTTCTGGCCTGCGGGTGTACATGCAGAACCTTGTATACATAATAAATAAATCTTTAAAAAAAAAATACCTGGGACGTTAGTGTGCTGGATGTTTAAATTAGTGATTGGGAGAATCTGTTATCTGAGGTAAAAGAATGAAAATTAATAAAATCACAGTCTTGAAAAAGATCATGCCTACAGCCATGTGTAGGGCTCACAGAAGTAAGAAGAGATTGCAGTAAACCAGACAGGAATATTATTGGATATCAGGAATCAGAGATTAGAATTGTAGATTTGAAGGTGGGGGAAAAGAAACAAAAACTTTGGCACTGCATTCATATTTCTCAAAATAAACACAAATAAAAACAACTTAAATATTGGTTTATCTGAAACCAAATGGCACAGGGGCATTGCTGTGGTTGTAGACACCTTCACAGTCATTTTGTTACTTTTTTTATGAATGTGTTTCCAGTAGCCTTTTGTGTGTGAAAAGTATGAATAAGTAGAGGATGGATATGACAGGTTAGTGGCTTAGTCAAGAGGAAACCAGGCTTTCCCTAGGAGCCTGCATTGCTAATAACCGACATGCAGATTATAAGCGATGAGACATGTTTCCTGCTTGCTAATACTGATGTCCCATATAAGTCAGAAGCCACCCTCTGTCCTGTGGAGAGCTGACCACACGGTGAGCCCTAGGCCGGTCGGTTTGTTGGCACTCTGGGGAGCCCTTGCGGACCCCGCCTCCCCATCTGCATTTAGCACTCAGATGACTGGCTCATGGCCTGTTGCTTCCACCTGACTTCGCTCAGGCTGGATTTGCAAATCATCGCTATTCTGCACTCAATAACAGGCTATAATTTCCCTCTACTTCTGACAAACACCTTCAGTCTCGGTGACAGGAAAGGCATTTCAGATGTCAATCCCCACACCAAGCCCTACTGAGGAAAATGAATGTCAGGATCATGCTGTCATTAAATCATGCTCTCCAGAGGCTACAGGCTTCCAGCGTGTCTCCTTCCAACTAACTTGGAAATATTCTTCCTCATTATTCCCTCTTTTCTGTAACATTCTAAATTTGACCCTTTTGAAAGTTTAAATGCAATCTCTCTCGGTTGTAATTATGAAAGAATTAGTAACATATCCTTCCAGGAATAGCAGTTGAACAATAATTATTAGTTTCTACATGGCCATATCTCACGCTCTCCTTCCTAGTCAGAGGTTAAAATATAATACATGTTATTTATTATATATAATTCAGAATTGAAAAAGAAAGTAAATGCAAGAAATGAGGAAAGCAAAGCGTAACAGAAAAATAAAGGGCTGCAGAATCTGAGTCTCTCGATGTAGATTACACTGTTTTAATGTGGTAATGTGGAATAAGACAGTTTTCCAAGCCTCAATTGACACATGACAGGCTAGGAAAATATTACCTTCCAAGACTAGTACAGGGATTAAATCTATACCTGTTGCTTAAAAAAGAGCAAATACAGAGTAGTTACTCAAAAGTTGGCAGCTATACTTGTTTCTCAAGGCAGTTTTAATGTCATACTTACTTGGCTTGATAACCTTTTTAGTATATTATAACTACACAAAAGTTAGAGATTTCATGATGGCCTTTCCATACACAAATTTTATGCACTTGTGTCATATTCATCCCCTCTATTATTCACTTTCATTCCTCTTTTCCTTGCTGTCTTCTCTATCCATGGGACTCCTCTACTTCCAGGATTTAGTAAGTATTCACTGTAACTAACTCATTCTACTATAAATTGGAGGTTAAGGCTTAGTACTCATAGTCAAAACTGCTTCTCTAGAGGCCTCATCTGAGCAGGAAGAAAGTCATCCAGTCTCAATAGCAGTCATTTTTCTTTTTTAAAAAAAATGAAAGGTAAATGTAGTGATAACTCAACTGGAAATGCAGGAAATTCTGAGATGAAGTACAGAAAAAGAGTAAAAAGGTAGCTGTTGGAAGATGAAACCAGCAAACAGGTTAAGACAGAATGAGACCAGAAAGTCCACTTTAATGAAGCTGTGAAGAGAGTTTTGAGGGTTGGAACATAAACTGGAATGGGTGGAATGTGTTCAGGGTACTGGACTTGGGAGCCCTCCTCCTCCACCAAAATCCTCAGGAAAGGTCTTAAATCCTTAAGAATTCTGTATAAGCAGATTTTGTGTTGGTACCCAGAACCAGGACAAGGACAACAGGGGCATCTGAAGAGCAAGAGGGACTCTGATCTAAAGCAAAGATGAGTAGTCAGATAGGACCAGTATGGACAGCATGGAACCATGACTGCTTGTCCACACTGCTGTTAGAATATCAATGGATACAGACATTGTGGGATCATAGTAAAGTTTCATTGTGCAGATCCTACAAAATGGTGATTCAAGAAGTAGGTGTACAACCCTAGGAATTTTTGTAAGATCCGTGCACAGGAATGTTGAAAGTGTTTTCATAAGAAAAGAAATGAGAACAGGAATAAAAAATCCATCTTCAGGAACATGAATAAATCTCAAAAACATATTTTAGCAAAAAAAATCAATAATAAAATTATTAATTACTCTATTTCTGTAAATGACAAAAGCAGTTATTTAGAGATATGTAGATACATGTAGATATATATGTGATAAACATTCAGAGCAAAACAAGGAAAGCATTTAGTGTAAAACACAGGACAGCAGTTCTCCTGGTGTTATCAAAGATGAGTGTGTAGAGGCCTGTGAGTCACTGGATAGACTCTACTTCAATATGTGATATTAGAAGTACATAGGCATTTGCTTTATTGGTTTCCTTCCCATTACAAGCGTATGTTACCAGACTACTATGTAAACATAAGTTGTGTCACAGTTTTAAAATAAGCATTTTAAATGAACTACCACTAAGACAGTAAGGAAATCATTGTAACCAGGCACAGCCAGAACCTTGAATGCTAACACTCATACAGGGCAGATGCTAAAAGGTCCTGAGCTCACATGAAACAGAAGCTTAAGAGGCATGTTAGACGTATTATTAACCTGTATCCCAGACTTCAAAAACATGAATTCCTTTTAAGCATACACAAACATTTACGAAATTTGGCCACATGAACTCACCACAGTTAGGACTGAATGCACAATGCCTGCACAAGATCCAGCAGCCAAAACTGCAGTATGAATAATGGAGAGGCTACCGAAGTCTCACTGCTAGCTGCGGAGCCATTGGCAATGGACGGCTGCTGGGAGAGGTAAAGATGTGGAGCCCGAGAAGCTGCCCATGCTCCATTAGATGGCTCCATGCCCGTGTACATACAGATAGCAGTAAATGGACTCTGTGGTTTGGGGTTTGTTTTCCTAACAAAAAGTACATGAAGTTGGAAGGCAAAAGTAAGCATAGTAAGGAGAGGAATTAGAGAGAGGGGAATGATGATATCAAAACAGTATGTGTGTATGTGTGTGTATATATATATTATGTGTTATATCATAGTGTGTATATATGTGTGTATATATACATATGAAATTTTAAAATAATAAAAAATGACCACATATTAAACCATAAGCAAATTCCCAACAAGTGCTAAAATCTTGATGCACATAAACAATGATTGCTGACAAGGAACTAAGCCGGTGTAATTAAGTACCTGAAATGTATAAGACAGGATATTTCCACTCAGTCTGTAGAAGTCTCTTCCATCCCCACTGAACACTTTCCGGCACTGACCACCGAAACTTTTGGTGTTGAGGACTCTGTTCCTGAACTGGCCTGTGAGTGCATTGTAACTGTGAGAAGGAGAGAGAGGAGGAGAAGGCTGGTGGGGGGAGGGAGGTAACTAAAAACCAGAACTAATACCTGCTGGAGAAAAAAAAATATGAGTAAAGCCTGTAGAAATAAATCACTAAAATCTTCTACAGTTCAACACCTGAGAAGGAGTAATACCCTAATGCCCGCCTGCCATGCATCAGCCTGCTCCTCCTGATGGCGGCAGAGTTAACACTAACAGCAGAGGAAATCCAACGTCCTGTCAGCCTGAGAACATATTTGGGGCGTGCAGGTCTGTGGTATCTATGGCAACAGCTGCTTTAGAATTGATTCTATAGATAAAACCAATACAATCAAGGTTATTGGGGAGCTGAGATTGCTTGCTACCGGAGTTCCCAGCTCGTGCTCTTAGCAGGCTGAAGAATGTTCCTTAAAGTAACTCTGCCTCTTTCTTGTTAATAAACTTGAAGCTATTGAAGGGAAGTTCACGTTGATTTTTCTAAAGCAGATTATTTTAGAAAATAGAAGACTAAAATTAGCTTAATCCTAATTTCTTAAAAGATAATCTCACTTTCAACTGTGTCTTCTCCCTTCTCCTCCTTCTCTTCTCTCTCCCTCCCTCCCCCCCCTCTCTCTCTCATTTCTTTGTTCTCCCTCCTCCTTTTTCTGCTCTTAGAACGACCAACTGTCCAGATTTTCATGGTGCAGAGGTTTCCCTTGATGGGAGATGCCCGGTGATAAATCCTGGTGTAGCTGGAACAACAGCATTTTACCACGTGCATCTATAGGTACTCAAGTATGAATTTTTAATTGGAGCAGGACGTGGCAAAGATGTCTGAGCTTATTATTAGAGTCACGAAGCCACAAAACAGAACAAAAGTAAAAACTACAACCCACTGGTATTCTTGGAAGGCCTCTCAGCATCTTACCCATTGCCAGTAAGTTCTATGTTGGGAGGAGGTTTATCAATGTCACAGGAAGGTCTGCTTTCTGCATCCTCACATCTGTCTTCATCAGCACTATCTTCTTCACAGTCAGAATCCCCATTGCAAACCAAGGATCTGCTGATGCACTGGCCTGGACAGGAGAGAAGCTCCCAGAAAATATAAAAGAGGGAAGGGGGAAGAATAAAGGCTGGGATCACCCCAGCACTGCACTGATAGACTCGTGTGGGTCTCAGACAAACCTTCAGCCTCTCTAGAAAAGAACTAGCGATAGTTTTGATCTCCATTTTGAAACACACAGAAGTGTCTTTCACCTTCTCCAGATGCAAACTGAAAATAGACCTGAACTCAAAGCCGCAATCATCAAGCATTGTTGTCTGCATCCCTCAAGTCCCACACAATACTGGTAAGAGAGATAGATGTCAGAATCCTTGACTCTTTTATTTTGTTTCTGTAGTTGTTCATCTAGATGCTAAACTTGTGCTTTTCTTGGTGATTCAGATGTATAAATTTTTAGAGCAAAGAAACTAGAAAAGAGGGCTGGAGAGATGGCTCAATGGTTAAGAGCACTGTTATTCCAGAGGACCCTGGTTCAATTCCTAGCACCCACATGGCAGCTTACAACTGTCTGTAACTCCTGTTTCAGGGGATCTAACACTCATGGCAAAACACAAATGCACATAAAATAAAAATGAGTAACTTAAAAAAACTCTATGGTTTACAGCATTTACTCTGTGGAAGACTTCCTGCTGTTGAGAAACAAATAAGTATGCTGTGGTGATTGCCAGACTTTTCATATGCAGTATAATCTGCTAGTAAAAACTATGAAGACAGGAACGATTATAAGTCAGCAGCATCACTGCTATGATAACTCAGAACACTGAGAAAGCATCAGTGGGTATCAGATAACCTTGGCCCTGTCTTTCTCCCTAGCATCATCCTAGACTTTTCCTTACCAGCCTTCCTATGCCCTCTGCATATTGGACCATGTGTATGGGTGCAGGTCCAAGTTTTCTGTCATCTCAATGACTTAATACATCATTCTCTCTGTCCAGAAGGGTTTTCTCTACTCCTCTCTGATGACTTTCAAATAGCAAATTAAATATTATCCCATTTTGAAAACCATCCTTATCCCTCCAACCATGAAGGTTATTCTTCCTCTATTTCTTCAAAGGATGCTTTGTGCACAATGTTCACAGTACAACATGTAGCTCACTCTATGTATCACTCAAGGCAATACGGCAAACATCTGTTGAGAGTCTGCCTATGTGCCAGGCATTCCTCATGAGAAAATAAATAAAATAGGTCTACAAAACTTCAGAGAGATATACAGGTCACCAATTTGGATTACAGAGAGTGTAAGATACACAGTGAACACAGAGAAGTGATTTGTTGATTAATTCCATCTCCTGAGGGGTTAGCAAAGGCTTCCCAAAGCAGCTACTACTTGATTTGAGTTTTCAAGATAAAATAGAAACTTTACAAGTACTATTTAAGAACAACCATAGACCCTGATGAATTCAGTCCTAAATGGAAGGTCTTTATTGAAGCCCTCAGTGCTCAGGGATCTACGCAGAAGAGGTGAAATAACCATAAGAGTAAGATAGGACGAATGACCCCAAGCAAACAGCATTTTCTGGGCATAAAAATACATACATATATATGTGTATATACATATACATATGACAACATGCGCACAACCTGCATAAGTTCAGATCAGACAGGGTCCCAACACTGAGAAGGGAACGTGAATATGGGTCCCACTTCTTCCAAGAAGCTATTTGCAATTTATACCCAGTAGCAAAGGGGAAATCATTTTTCTCCAGTGTCGTGATACTGAGTATCTCAACCACACTCCAGGACAGGCCTCATTCTCAGGGGTAGTTGGCCAATACAAAAAGGACTCCATGTTTTCCTGAGTGCTTTCTGTTGTTAATTTTTTGTGGGTTTTATCTTCTTTAGATATTTTTTCTTGATTGTCTTTTTTTGAGACAGAGAGAACATGAAATTGGGTGGTTGGGGAGGTAGGGATGATCTGAGTGGACTTGGAGGAAGAGAGAGAATATGGTCTAGCATATTGTATGACATTTTTTAAATAATAAGTAAAAGAAAAATTCTAACATACTGAATCTTTATCTACTAATCTATCCATAAAACTCCAATATGTTGCAGAGTGGTGACACAGAGTTTTAACCCCAGCATTTGGGAGGCAGACAGGAGGATCCCTGAGTTCAAGGCCAACCTGGCCTACAGAGTGAGTTCCAGAACAACCAAGGCTACACAGAGAAACCCTCTCTCAGAAAAAAAAACAAACATTATGACAAAAAAAAACCTTCAGTATGGGTGTTGGTTTGGTTTGGTTTGGTTTTTTTTTTTTTTTGAGACAGGGTTTCTCTGTGTAATAGCGCTAGTTGTCCAAGAAGTCGCTTTGTAATGAGGCTAGCCTTGAACTCATAGAGATCTACCTGCCTCTGCCTTCCAAGTGCTGGGATTAAAGGTGTATGCCACCACCGCATGGTTAATTAGTTGTTTTTGTTGAGGGTGGTGGTTCACACCTGTAACCTCAGCACCAGGAAGGTGGAAGATCAGAAGTTCAAAGTCATTCTCTGTCACATAGAGAGTTGAATGTCAGTCTCATCTACAAGACACCATGTCTCAAAAAGAAAAAATAAACTAGTTGAGGCTGTTAAAGCTATAATTCTATCAATACACCAAAGAATGCCCACGCCTTTATGTCTCTCTGGCTTTTGAATGAGTGATACCTAAGTGTGTGATTTATCTGATTATGCAGTTAGTATACTAACAAAAATCTTGCTTATACTTGGATAAAATTCATTAGGAGGCCAATATAAATTCAAACAAATACGTATGGAACAAGTTAACAAACGACATTGGAGTTATAGTTTGCATGCTGAGCCCATGGAAAACAAGTTACCTGAGAAACACCTAAAACGTTCGCCACAGCCCTCCTCAGTTGGACAACCTAGTTCAGGATTGCAGGATTGTGTTTGGAAAGCACTTCCCACACATGGGTGGCCTCCATACTGCCCATAAACAGCAATCGAACGCCTTCGAGTCTGGAAACAAAGCAGAAGATCCCTTTGTATTTTATATGTTGGTTATTCCAGGTTTTCTTGAGTAATAAGATCCAAGAACTAATTCAATTTGAGAAACACTGTCCAGGAATGTGGTACAGAAGTAAAACCCACAAAATCAGTGAGCCAGCAGGTTCCATGACAGTTAGATTACTATTTACACAGGGTTTCAAACCATAGATTTACTCTCACTGCTAAGGGGGGGGGACTTCCTAATGACTCTCTGGAAATGTAACTTGAGAGAGTAAATACATTACAATACAGAATGATTAACATTTTGCCCAGAATATTCTGGAAGTTAAGCAGGAAAAAAATGAAATGTGTTTTGTTGGAGGAAAGGACAGGGAAGGTTATGGGGGAAAGAGTTAAGATAAAGTGAAGTTAGCAGAACAGCGGTGGTAGACACCTCTAATTCCAGCACCTGGGAGGCAGAGGCAGGCAGACTTCAGTGAAACCATGTCTGGAGGATGCGGCGATGAAGTGAAGAAAACCCTAAGAAACACTGTAAGTGATTGACTTGAGCTGGGCCTTCCAGGAAAAACAATGAGACATGGAAAAAGAACCCACAGAGAAGTGTGCTAATAGAGGGGCCAAATGTGCAAAATGACCTTGAGCAATCCAAATGTTAAGGGATGCTAACAATGGAATTTTACTAGCTGATGGAGAGGTCAGCTCTGAGAGGGAAATGTGTTACAAAGCGGACCTCTTTTAGAAAAGAAAAAAACAGAAGAAGTTTCTGCATTAAGTGAAAAATTCAGAAGTCGTCCTAAATTTCACTTGGTCCACATTAAGTATGGAGCCATGTATCAAATGCTTAAACAAACTAAAGATCTGCACCATCGTCCCTTTTGACTGGTGGCTTCCTCTTGTACTTGTCCCTTTATTGTCTAGTTTTATGCCCACTTGCACAAGCTAGAGTTATCTGAAGGATGGGAACCTCAATTGAGAAAATGCCTCCATAATTTCCAGCTGTGGGGCATTTTCTTAAGGAGTTGTTGATGGGGAAGGTCCCAGCTCATTGTGGGCAGTGTCATCACTAGGCTTGTGGCCTGGGTTCTATAAGAAAGCAGGTTGAGTAGCTGATAGAAGCAGAAGCAGACACCCACAGTTAAACACTGAACTGAACTCCTGGAATCCAGTTGCAGAAAGGGAGGAGTGATGAGCAAAGGGGTCAAGACCAGGCTGAAGAAACCCAGAGAAACAGCTGACCTGAACAAGGGGGAGCTCATGGACCCCAGACTGATAGCTGGGAAACCAACATAGGACTGTTGCAGACCCCCTGAATGTGGATGTCTATAGGGCCTCTGGTAGTGGATCAGTATTTATCCCTAGTAAAAGAATGGATTCTGGGAGCCCACTACACATAGAGGGATACTCTCTCAGCCTTAGCACAAGAGGTCTAGGCCCTGCTCCAAATGATATGACAAACTTTGAAGATCCCCCATGGAAGGCCTCACCCTCCCTGAGGAGCAGAAAGGGGATGGAATAGGGGTTGGTGGGGAGCAGGGCAGGAGAGGATGGAGAAGGAACTGAGATTGACTTATAAAACAATCTTGTTTCTAATTTAAATGAAATAAACAAAAAATGAATACATAAAAAGAAAGTAGGCTGAGCAGGCCAATAGCAAGCACTCTTCCATGGGCTCTGCATCAGCTCCTGCTTCCAAGTTTCTGCCCTGCTTGAGTTCCTGCACTCACTACTTTTGATGACGAACTGTCATATGGAACTGTGAGGGAAATAAACCCTTTCCTCCCCCAAGTTGGTTTCAATCATGATGTTTGACAGCAATAGCAACCCTAACTAAAATAACTCTTATTCTATTAATAAAAAGAAGCCCATCTCATTTCCAGAGGAATCAAACCTTGAGTGACAATTAACAGGGAAGAATAAGCATACAAATCAATTCTAAATGTACTCATCCATCTTACATTGGGTTGGAAGTGGGTACCACTTGAGACAAGTGGTCACACTGTTAATTTGGACGCTGAGTGAGTCTTCATGAGCCCCAGCCTGGCTTTGGCACCTTGCATTGCAGTTAACAGCAGAGCTGTAAGAAATGGGACCAGTAAAGCTTCTGGACATGCTTTTGGTCTCTTTTAAGTAATGAAGACTTGCCACATCTGTGCTTATCAGTGTGCCCTTTTCTGGGTTCTGAACACAGAGGGTGCACTTGCACAGGAATGATCGCCCTTCTCTGTGTCGCTAGCCAGGCCCTAAAGGCTGTTCAGTCTCCACCTCTCTAATTCTGATCCTCTGACCCTTTGTCGTTTTCACCTGCCTCTTTCTGAATAGAACCTGTATTTTGCCAACTGGAATATGTCTACTTCACAGTGAGCGTCATCAAAGGAAAGAAAATACTTATATATTACCCCTATGTCTGTCTTTTTAGAATTCATTTTTTGGTTTTTAAATTATAAAAATTATCTCTGCGCTTGCTGTTTCTTTTAATTTTGCCTTGTTATTCATGTGGTTTTTTTCTCTGTAATCACAGTCATCATCTATTATGTTTGCTAGATGCCAAATTTTTCATTTGTGTAACTGTTTTGAAAATAACAGTCATATAAATAATAAAAGAATGCTTCATTTTAAAAAAAATTGATGGCCAAATGTCATGGTTCATGCCAATAATCTCAGTGCCTCAGAAGCTGAGGCAGGAGGGTTGTCATGAGTTCAAGGCCAGTGTGGGCTACTGAGTAAGACTTCATCTCAAAAACAAAAAATGGAATGATGATGGGGCTTGGAGAAAGTGCATGCTGAAGAGGAAAGTAATGCCAAAGATGCTTCAAGATAAAAACCACCTTCTGGGAAAGGGTTTTGTTATTTTATGCCTGACATTAGTCAAAAGACAATGAAGGGATAGCTGTGTTATTCTAACAGTATAAACTTAGAACAGCAAGATGGCTCAGTATTTAAAAGAGCTTGCTGCCAAGTCTGAGTTCAATTCCCAGGACCTGCATGGTAAAATAAGACAAGGGTTGAGGCAGAAACCTACTGCAATGGAAGCTCCCTGGAATTCATGAGGGTGACCCTAATTAAGGCTCCTACTAATGGGGGTTACCGGAGCTGAAGCAGTCATCTTTTGTAACCAGGCAAGGTTTCCAGTGGAGGGATTGGGATATCAACCCAGTAACAAAACCTTCAACTTACAGTTGGTCCAGCCCACGAGTGCTGGGGTAAAAGTCGCACTGAGCTTGTGAGAGTGACCAACCAATGACTGGTCCAACTTGAGACCCACACCTGGAATGTGTCCGGGCCTGACACTGCCTGGATGGCCAGGAACCAGAAACTGTATAGCCCAGAGACCTAGGATAGAACCAAACATGACTGGCAAAAAAGTCAATGAAACGATTCCTAATTGTATTTTGCTACACTCATAGAACAGATCCTAGCATAACCATCATCAGAGAGGCTTCATTCAGCAACTTATAGGAGCAGATGCAGAGACCCACAGCCAAACATTATGCAGAGCTCAGGAAATCCCAAGAAAGAGGTGGAGAAAGGATTATTGGAGCCAGAGGAGACAAGACACTATGAGACACAGCCCACAGAATCAACTAAGCAGGGTTCCTAGGGGCTCCAGAAACTGAGGAGGCAATCCTGGAACCTGTCTGTATGGGTCTAAGCCAGATCATCTGCATGTATTTTATGGTTGTGTAGCTTGGTGTTCTTGTGGGACTCCTAAGAGTGGGAGTGGGGGCTATTTCTTACTCTTTTACCTGCCTTTGGGACCCCTTTCCTCCTGCTTGGTTGCCTCATGCCTTGATATGTTACATGCCTAGTTATATTGTAACTTGTTATGCCATTTTGGTTGATATCCCTGGGAGGCCTGCTCTTTTCTGAAGGGAAACAGAAGAGGAGTGGATCTGAGGGAGAGGAAAGGTGAAACATAAGAACTGGGAGGAGAGGAGGGAAGGGAAACTACAGCCAAGATGTAGTATATGAGAGAAGAATAAATAAAGAAAAATGGTCATTAAAGTGTTGCTTACAGCTTAAAAATAAATCCAGTACTTGGTATGGAGAGGATCATGAGTTCGAGGCCAGTCTAGGCTACATAATGAGATTCTGTCTTAAACCAAACAACAACAAAAAATGGAAACAACCTAAATATCAAACAATAGAAAAATGGGTAACTTGCATAGTTAACATTCATAAAATAGAGCTTATTATATGTATTATGAGTCTATGCTGATACTTTGTTTGGATAACTAATACAATACAAAACCAGGGCTAGCCTTAAAAAACTTTGCACATACAATCTATCCTGCCTACAAAATGTTCTGGGGAAATGGTGGTGCAGAACCTGTGGGAGTGGCCAACCAATGTCTGGTTTAACTTGAGGCCCTTGCCATGAGAGGGAGCCACCCCTGAAACTGCCAAGGTGGCCAGGAAGCAGAGACTGCATAGCTCAGAGTTCTGGGGCAGAAGCAAACACAACTGGCAAATAAACAAAAAACCACAATGAAATGATTCCTACTGGTATTTTGCTATATCCATAGATTGATGCCTTGTCCCCTGTCATCAGGGACGCCTCCTCCAGCAATAGAAGGGAGCTGTGCAGAGACCAACAGGCAGACATTATGTGGAGAGTCTAAACCTGAGGTCTCCATGGGGTCCCTCTCCTCAGAGCTTGTGGAACTCTATGCATCAAAGGGGATGGAGGCCTCCGGGAAAGTGTGGTCCACTATATCATCTAAGCAGGGTTCACACAGGTTCACTGGAGCAGCAAGCACAGGGTCTGCATGGTCCTCTGCCTATGCTATGGCTGTTAGCTTGGTATTTTTGCGAGACTTCTAACAGTGGGAGCAGGTGTATAATCTGACTCTTTTGCCTGCCCTTGAGACTCCTCCTCCTATTGGGTTGCCTCATCCACCCTTGCCATGAGGGCTTTTGCCTTGTCTTATTGTGTCTCATTTTTGCTGTGTTCAGTTGTTGTCTCTTGGAGGCCTGCTCTTTTCTGAAGGGAAATGAAAGGATAATGGATCTGGGGGTGAAAGGTGGCAGGGAACTGGGAGGAGTGATGTGAGGGGAAACCACGGTCCAGATGTATTATATGATAGCAGAATCTATTGTCAATAAAAAAATCACTTAAAAGGATGGTTATAATGATATTTTAAAACTATAAGCAGCATTGAAAATACAGTACTCATGAATGAAATTCTCAGAAGATATTAATAAAATGAGTGTTAAATAAAATAAAGACCATAAGCATACAGAGAGAAAGTGAGCTGGAAGACTAAATAGCAAAATGGTAGTTTGTTTCTTCTAAACAGCAGAATTATGAGTGCTGTTTCTTTCATTATACATTTCTGTATTCTTATCGATGAATGTTTTATAAAGACAAAAACAGTTTTAGAGGTATTGTGCCAAATCCAAGTCATGTCAAGTGTTTTATTGTATATTATTACTCAGGAAATAAATTTAAAACATTGAAGATACTCGATTTATTCATATCAGGTCCCTATTTGTGAAATAAAATGAAGCATCTGTTTCACTGCTTGCTGGTATTTGAAATGGCAGGAAAAGCTTAAACTGGTGAACAAAACACAGATTTTAAACTTTATTCTATGCTATTTCTGTCTGTTTAATAACAGACAATGAGTTACCCTAAACTTTCAGCCTGTGTTTAAAAAAAATCAAGAAAAATATAGACATCACAGTATAACAGTATTGTAAACAAGTTATACTTTCTTCCTGGAAAATTACTAACGTTAGTTTCAGAATACATGACCACTGATTGGTGACCATTCAGAAGTTGATTTTGTTGTGGTCATACCTTCACATAACAATAAGCAAGTCAAATGTTCTGCGGGAGCCTACCTGTGTCCGGGTACAGTCATTGCACTCAGACCAAGGGCCATAGGAGTCCCACTGGCAGTTCACTGGGGAAGAGGCTCTGCATGGCACCAGATTTTCCATCACAAAGCAGGCAGGATGATAAGCAAGGGAACACAAACAATAGATAAGAATAGCCAAAACTCATCAAAGTTACCTCAGCTTGGGGACTGGAGAGATGGCTCAGAGGTTAAGAGCATGGACTGCCCTTTCAGAGGTTCTGAGTTCAATTCCAAGCAGCCACATGGTGGCTTGAAACCATCTGTAATGAGAGATCTTGTGCTCTCTTTTGGCCTGCAGGCATGCATGCAGGCAGAATACAGTATACATAATAAATCAGTAAATCTTAAAATTACCTCAACTTGAAACAGTACCTGTAATCCAGCCCCATGCCCCCTTGTGGGACTGGACAGGTCTGATAGGGAGGATCAGAAGTTCAAGGTCTTGCTCAGCTGTACAATGAGTTTGAGGACAGCCTGAGTTACATGAGACCCTGTCTCAAAAAAAACCAAAAAGACTACAAAAATGCACAAGGATTAACTCTTGAATCCCAGGCTGATGCCTGGGAATCCAGCATGGGACTGATCAAGACCCCCTGAATGTGGGTGTCAGTGAGGAGGCCTAGGTAATCTATTGAGCCTTGGGCAGTAGATCAGTATTCATCCCGAGTATACACATGGACTTTGGACTCCCATCCAACAATGTGAGATGAACTCTCACCCTGAACTCTTGGGGAGAGGGTCTAGGCCCTGTCCTGGATGAAATGACAGACTATGGACACCCCCATGGAGGGCCTCACCCTCCCTGGGGAAATGAGGGGATAATGGGAGAGTTGGGGGGAGGGCATGGGAGGGGAGGGAAAGGGAGAGGGACCTGGAACTGACTTGTGAAGCAACCTTGTTTCTTATCTAAATTTAAACTGAAAAATAAAAAAATTAATAAAAAAATGCACATTGAGATGCAGAATGTAATCATATGAAAATGTCACCATGAAGCACATTTTATATATTTACTTTAGGTTGGTTAAAAAGAAGAAATACCTGCAAAAATTTTAAAGAGGTATCAAAAGTATGCTAAAATATATGAAAATGAGAAGATGGGTACCTATTTTTATTAGAGCTTAATTTTTATTAAATATATATTTTGTACAAAGTACTGTAAGGATATTAACACATAAATTTCTAATCATATACTATATCTAATGTGATAAAAAACTTCATAACAAAGTTTGTACTGTGTATGTAGACTTGACACAAGCTAGAGGCTTCAGAGAGGAGGGAGCTTCAATTGAGAAAATGACTTCATAAGTGGATCAAGCTTTAGGCAATCTTGGAGAGAATTTTTTTAATTAGTGATCCATGAGAGAGGGAGGACCCAGTCCATTGTGGGTGGTGCCATTCCTGGTCTGGTCACCCTGGGTTCTTTAAGAAAGCAGGTTGAACAAGCCACAATGAGCAAGCCAGTAAGGAGAAGTCCTCCATAGTCTCTACATGAACTCCTGCCTCCAGCTTCCTGCTCTGCTTGAGTTCCTGTCCTGACTCCCTTCACAATGAACTGTGATGAGGAAGTGGAGGTTAATAACCCCTTTCCTCTCCAAGCTGCTTTGGTCATGGTGTTCATCACAGCATTAGTAACCCTAACCAAGACAATGTTTACATAAAATGTACCATGGGAATATAAATAAAGGAGTAATTGAAGTTAAGAGGATAGGTGGGAATATTTGGGAGGAAGGTATGGGGCCTTAGAAGAAACTAAATAATGACTTGAAGAGCTATCCAGAAACTTGAGAGACAAGTTCTAAGAATAGTAGAAAATGTTGGCAAAGGCTATGTGACAGCAATTGATGCTTAAAGATTCTCCAATACTCACTCAGGCCCTTCTTAAGTACACACAGAGGTGGAAAAAAACCTGAGTTTAAGCAATTCCACCCATCTCAAGCATATGTGGAAGGTAAAGTTGCTCTCACTTGATGTGGAGGAAGACACCTGGGTTAGTCCTCAAAGGCCAAGGAAGACTTATGAAAAGATCACAGAACTGGGACTTTTGATTTATGGACTTGTGGTAGAGTATTATTTTAAGGTGTGTGACTTTTGTTTATGCTGCATTTGTTTAACTCTGTGAAGCTGTGTTACTGTGCCTATCTAAAACACCTGGCAGCCCTAATAAAGATTTGAATGTCCAATACCAAAGAAGGAGCTGAGACAGGCAGGGCTGGCAGGTGGAGAGCATAAGTAGGAGAAATGAGGAAGACAGAAGCAACAAGAGAACAAGGAGAGGAGTATGTGAGAGACCAGTCACCCAGCCAGCCACAGAGTAAGAAGGAAAGTAAGATATGAAAAGGTAAGAAAGATAAAAGGCCAGAAGGAAAAGGTAGAAGGGTTAATTTAAGATAAGAGAAACTGACTAGCAACAAGCCAAGCTAGGGTCGGGCATTCATAACTAAGACTAAGCCTCATGAGTGATTTTTTGGGAGCTGAGTGTGGGCCCCTCGTAAACACAAGAGAGTAAAGAATCCAAAAGAATAAAACCATCACACAACATGGACTCATAGCACATTACTGGGCTGGGAGACTTCTTGGATCCAGGTGATTCTTGAATCCTATACCTGTCAGATGATCCTGAAAGTAATGAATCCCATTCTGTAGTGTGCATTGAGAGAACCTTGGTAACCTGTTTTACACTGGTACCAGTTAGCCAAATGTCAATGTTTTAGACAGCCTCTGAATTTACTGTTGTTTGCCTATATGTGCGCCAGGAAGAAACAGAGGCCTTCCCCAAGTATGGGGGCACGGATGGACACTGTGTAGACTTCCCTCATGTCTCACAGTGGGACCTTAGTCATCCATCAGTGGGTTCTACATGCTATCTCATTCTTAGTGTCCCCAGGTTGTGCACATCCCATGACACTTACAGTTCCACCAAGTGACCACCCTGGTTCCATCAATTCATCAGTGAAAATAAAAACATAGGAATGAGGGCAGAGAGCAGAGGCGAGCACTAGGTCCCCATCTGAGACCCAAATTCCTCCCAATCACCCTCTCTCGGAAAGCCTGGCTTGGGGACTGCAGCCAGGTCACCTCCCCGGAGGGACTACCAAGTGACCAGGAGCCTGAAAGAGAGCTGGTCCACTTCTGCCCACACTCAAGGCAGAGGGCAAAGGACAGAGAGCAGAGGCTAGAGAGTCTTGGATTTGCTTGCACCCATAGAAATGGAAGCCTGGTTGCCTACCCACCAGGAGAAGAGACTTTTTCTAAACTCTCTGGAAGAAGTGATGGGGAAGAGGCAATATAAGAACACACTCAGCAACAGAAAAAAAAATGACACCACCAGAGTCTACAAATTCTACACCAGTAAAACCTGAACACCCAAATGTGGATGAAGCAGAAGAGAATAACCTTAAAAACACCTTCATGAAAATGATAGAGGCCCTCAAAGAAAACGTGAGAAAATGCCTTAAAGAAATGGAAGAAAAAACAAACCAAAAGAATGCAAGAAATAGAAGAAAAAACAAAAAAATCCAACAAATGCAAGAAAGGGAGGAAAACACAAAGAAAAAATTACAAGAAACAATTCAAATAGTGCAAGGGTTGAAAACTGAAATAGAGACAATAAAAAAAAACCACACAATCTGATGGAAGGCTGGAAATAGAAAAGCTGGGCAAACAGTCAGGTACTACAGATACAAGCATAACCAACAGAATACAAGAGATGGAAGAGAGAATCTCTGGTGTTGAAGATGCACTAGGAGAAATGGATTCATCAACCAAAGAAAATCTTAAGTCCAACAAATCCCTATCACAAAGCATCCAGGAAATATGGGACACCATGAAAAGACCAAACCTAAGAATAATAGGTATAGAAGGAGAAGAAAACCACCTCAAAGGGGCAGAAAGCATATTCAACAAAATCATAGAAGAAAACTTTCCCAACCTAAAGAAAGACATGCCAATGAAGGTACAAGAAGCTTACAGAACACCAAATAGAGAGGACCCAAAAGAAAAGTCCCCTTGCTACATAATAATAAAGACCCCAAGCATACAGAATAAAGAAAGAATACTTAGAGCAGCTCAGTAAAAAGTTCAAATAACATATAAAGGCACACCTATAAGAATTACACATGACATCTCCATGGAAACTCTGAAAGCCAGAAGGTCCTGGATATTCTATCAGCACCAAGAGACCACGGATACCTGCCCATACTACTCTACCCAGCAAAGCTTTCAATCACTATAGATGGAGAACACAAGATAATCCATGACAAAACCAGATTTAAACAATACATATCCACTAACCCAGCCCTTCAGAAAGTTCTGAAAGGAAAACTCCAATCCAAGGAAGTTAACTACAACCAGAAAAACATAGGAGATAGATAATCCCAATTTAACAACATCCAAAAGAGAAAAGGAGTGGAAATCCACATACAATTCCACCAAGAAAAACCATTCCAAAACAAACGAGAATGAGCAATCAAAGGTCACTAATATCCCTCAATATTAATGGTGTTAACTTGCCCATAACAAGGAACAGATTAACAGAATGGAATCGAAGACAGAACCCATCCTTCTGATGCATACAAAAACACACCTCAGCTTCAAAGGTAGATATTACCTCAGAGTTAAGGGTTGGGAAAAGATTTTCCAATAAAATGGTTCTAAGAAACAAGTAGGGGTAGCAATTCTAATATCTAACAAACTAGACTTTAAACTTAAATCAATCAAAAGAGATGAAGGAGGTCATTTCATATTCATCACAGGAAAAATCCACCCAGATGAAGTCTTGATTCTGAACATCTATGTCCCAAATATAAAGGCACCCACATTCATAAAAGAAACATTACTAAAACTCAAGCCACACATAAAACCTCACACACTTATAGTGGGAGACTTCCACGCTCCACTCTCACCACTAGACAGGACAACCAGACAGAAACTTAACAAAAAAACAAAGGAACTAATAGAAGTTATTACCCAGTTGGGTTTGACAGACATCTATAGAACATTCCATCCAAACACAAAAGGATATACCTTCTTCTCACCACAACATGGAATCTTCTAAAAAATTGACCACATACTTGGCAACATAGCAAACCTCAACAGGTACAAAAGTATTGGAATAACTCCATGTATCTTATCAGACCACGATGCTTTAAAGTTAGAGTTCAACAACAACACAAATTGCAGAAACCCTACAAACTCATGGAAACTGAATAATGCGCAATTGCACTACTCCTGGGTCAAAGAAGAAATAAAAAAAGAATTAAAGACTTCGTAGAATTCAACATAGGCAATCTTATGGGACACTTTGAAAGCAGTGCTACGAGGGAAGTTCATAGCACTAAGTGCCCACATGAAAAAACTGGAGGATAGTTACACTAGAAAATTAACAGCACAACTAAAAGCCCTAGGACACAAAGAAGCAAATTCACCTAGGAGGAGTAGACGCTAAGAAATAATCAAATTGAGAGCTGAAATCAATAAAGCAGAAACTAGGAAAACAATACAAAGAATCAATATAACAAAGAGTTGGATCATTGAGAACATCAACAAGATAGAGAAACCTTTATCCAAACTCACCAAATGGCAGAATGTGAACATGCAAATTAACAAAACCAGAAATGAAAAGGGGGACACAACAACGGACTCTGAGGAAATCCAGAGAATCATCAGGTCATACTTAAAAACCTGTACTCCACAAAATTCAAAATTTAAAGGAAATGGACAAATTTCTGGATAGATGTCATCTGCCAAAATTAAATCAAGAACAGACAAGCAATTTAAATAGGCCTATAACACCTAAGGAAATAGAAGCAGTCATCAAAAGTCTCCCAACCAAAAAAAGCCCAGGTCCAGATGGCCTCAGTGCAGAATTCTATCAGAAATTAAAAAAGAGCAGCTTATACCAATCCTTCTCAAAGTAGTCCATGCAATAGAAGCAGAAGGGTCTTTGCCAAACTCTTTTTACTAGGCTTCAATAACCTTGATCCCCAAGCCACACAAAGACACAACTAAGATAGAGAACTTCAGACCAACACCCCTCATGAATATTGAGGCAAAAATACTCAATAAAATACTGGCAAATCGGATCCAAGAACACTCATCCACCATGATCAAGTAGGCTTCATTCCAAGGATGCCCGGTTGGTTCAACATACAAAAATCTATCAATGTAATCCACTATATAAACAAGTTGAGAAACAAAAATCACATGATCATCTCACTAGATGCAGAAAAAACCTCTGACAAAATCCAACACCCCTTCATTATAAAGGTCTTGGAGAGATCAGGAATAACAGGAATATACCTAGACATAATAAAAGCTATATACAGCAAACCAACAGCCAACATCAAACTGAATGGAGAGAAACTCAAGGCAATTCCTATGAAATCAGGAACAAGACAAGGCTGTCCCCTCTGCCCATACGTCTTCAATATTGTACTCAAAGTTCTAGCTAGAGCAATAAGACAACAAAAGGAGATCAAGGGGATACAAATTGGAAAGGAAGAGGTCAAACTTTCACTATTTGCAGATGATATGATAGTTTACATAAGTGACCCAAAGAACTCTACCAGGGAACTCTTACAGCTGATTAACACCTTCAGCAAAGTGGCAGGCTACAAGATCAACTCAAGAAAATCAGTAGCCCAGTATATACAGACAATAAAAGTGCTGAGAAAGAAATCAGGGAAACATCACCCTTTACAATTGCCACACACAAGATAAAATACCTTGGTGTAACGCTAACCAAACAAGTGAAAGACCTGTATCACAAGAACTTTGAGTCTTTAAAGAAAGAAATTAAAGAAGACACCAAGAAATGGAAAGATCTCCCATGCTCTTGGATAGGTAGGATCAATGTAGTAAAAATGCCAATCCTGCCAAAAGTAATATACACATTTAATGCAATCCCCATCAAATTCCAGCACAATTCTTCACAGACCTTGAAAGAACAATTCTCAACTTTATGTGGAAAAACAAAAAATCCAACATAGGCAAGGCAAACCTGCTCAACAAATAAACATCTAGAGGCATCACCATTCCTGACTTCAAGCTCTATATGGAGCTATAGTCCTGAAAACAGCTTGGTATTGGCACAAAAATAGACAAGTAGACCAATGGAATCAAATTGAACACTCTGAGATTAATCCACAAACATATGAAGAACTGATTTTTGACAAAGAAGCTAAAATTATACAATGGAAAAAAGATAGCATCTTCAACAAATGGTGCTGGCATAACTGGATGCTGGCATGTGGAAGAATGAGGATAGATCCTTGTCTATTGCCACGCACAACACTTAAGTCCAAATGGATCAAAGACCTCAACATAAATCCAGCCACACTGAACCTCTTAGAAGAGAAAATGGGAGGTACCCTTGAACGAATTGGTACAGGAAGCCACTTCCTGAACATAACACCAGTAGCACAAACACTGAGATCGACAATTAATAAATGGGACTTCCTGAAACTGAGTAGCTTCTGTAAAGCAAAGGACACAGTCAGCAAGACAAAAAAGCAACCGGCAGACTGGGAAAAGATATTCACTAACCCCACATCTGACAGAGGGCTGATCTCCAAAATTTACAAAGAACTCAAGAAGCTAGGACCCAATTAAAAAGTGGGGGACTGAACTAAATAGAGAAATCTCAATAGAGGAGACTAAAATGGCTGAGAAACACTTAAGAAAGTGCTCAACATCCTTAGCCATTAGGGAAATGCAAATCAAAACAACCCTGAGGTACCCTTTTACTCCTGTCAGTATGGCTAAAATCAAAAACACCAATGACAGCTTATGCTGGAGAAGATGTGGAGAAAGGGGAGCACTTGTCCATTGCTCGTGGGAGTGTCAACTTGTGCAGCCACTTTGGAAATCAGTATGGAGATTCCTCAGGAAAATGGAAATCAGTCTACCACAAGACCCAGCAATTCCACTCTTAGGCATATACCCAAACGATGCCCATTCATACAACAAGGATGTCTGTTCCACTATGTTCATAGCAGCATTATTTGTAATAGCTAGATCCTGGAAGGAGCTCAGATGTCCCACAACTGAAGAGTGGATAGAGAAAATGTGGTACATTTACACAATGGAGTACTACTCAGTAGAAAAACACAATGGAATCTTGAAATTTGCAGGCAAATGGATGGCACTAGAAGAAACCATCCTGAGTGAGATAACCCAGTCACAAAAAGACAAACATGGTATTACTCACTCATATATGGCTTTTAGATATGGATCAGGGGAGTGTCAGCCTACAATCCCAGTGCCAGTGAGTCTGGGAAACCGGGAGGTTTCCAAGTGATATGCATTATACCCCAGAGAAGTGGAAAGATGCAAGATCTCCTGAGCAGATAAAGAACATGGGGGGGGGGGGAAAGAGAGGGAACCAGGAAAAAGAGAGGGGGATAAGAGGAGGGTAGAAGAAGACATGGGGGAGCAGGAAGGTTGAGTTGGGATAAGAATAGAGGAGACCAGGATGAGAGATACCATAATAGTTGGAGTCATTATAGCTTTGAGGAGAAAGCTGGCACTAGTGAGATTTCCAGAGATCTACAAGGATAACACCAACTGGAAAACTAAGTAATAGGAGAGAGACTACATTAATAGCCCCTACCTGATGATACGGTTGATAACTACCTTATATGACATCCTAGAACCTTCATCCAGTGACTGATGGAAGCAGAGACAGATACTCACAGCTAAACACTGAACTGACCCCCTGGAACCCAGTGGCAGAGATGGAGGAGTGATGAGCAAAGGGGTCAAGACCGTGCTGGTGAAACCCACAAAGACAGGTGACTGGACAAGAGGGAGCTCTTGAACCCCAGACTGAAGGCTAAGAAGCCAACAGGGGATTGATCCAGACTCTATGAATGTCGTGTCAGTGAGGAGATCTCAGAAATCTCTGGGGCCTTTGGCAGTAGATTAGTGTTCACCATGGCGTACAAATGAACTTTGGGAGCCCATTCCACATGGAGGGATGCTCTCTCAGCCTGGACACATGGGGAAGGACTAGGTCCTGCCCTGGATGAAATGACAGACTCTGGAGATCCCGCCAAGGACCGTCTTACCCTCCCTGAGGAATGATGTGGGGATTGGACTGGGAGTGGGGGGGCTGGTGGAGGGACAAGGGGGGGGCTGGGATTGACATTTGAAGCATGCATGTTTCTATTTTAAATAAAAAAGAAAAATAATCATAGGAATGTATAAATGATGCTAGATTTTATCCAGCCTTCAGGAACAAATAAAGCTATTTTATTTTTTAAAAACTGTTGACCTTTAAAAATCTAGAGAATGTTTAGCAAGGACTAAATTTAAAGATTATATATTGCTCTGGGTCAGCTGCAATTCTCTGAATTAAGGTAAAACCCTGGAACAAGACCAAAAAATTCATGGGGCATTTTTGTTCTTGTTTTTTCCTTAAAAGTATAAAAAAGAATAAAATATAATTATTATATTTTCCAAAATCATGGAAAGATGAAATGCATAAACACTTCCAATGTGCTATATAAAAGTTAAACCAAACTAAAGAATTTATTATTTCTTACATTTTTTAAATTTCCATACAAAATCCAAAATATTCTTACCTTAGGAAGATTTGAAACTCTGCCATAAATCCCACCAAAAAGAATAAGCTTGTTGCCTAGGATAGAAAACAACAAAATATTACTTTAGCTTTCATTTCCTTAATAAGTTAAAAATGAAGGAGAGGGACCTGGAACTGACTTGTGAAGCAACCTTGTTTCTTATCTTAATTTAAACTGGAAAATAAAATAAAAAAATGAATACATCCACTTAAGTATAGATTTGTGAGTTGGGAAAATATGAGTCGAGGAACTATATAAAAGATAAATGACTTTTCTTTTTGAGATTGTATTTTAAATAGAAGCTTGAAGTTTCTTCAAAAAAAACCTTAAAAAATAGAGGTACCATAAGATTTTGCAATCCCAATGAAATGAAATCAGTATGCCAAAAAAAAATATGTACATTCCCATATTTACTGTAGTATTAGACACAATAGCTAAAACAAGAAATCTAGCAGTGTCCATCATTGGATGAAAGAATTAAGAAAAAGGTAGGAAGAGAAGAAAACGAATGTAGCTCACTGGTGCTTAACTAATGTGCATGAGACTATACTTGATCTCCAGCATGGGGTAGGGGGTGAGGAGGAGAAAAATACACACAATAGGATACCACTGAACCTTAAAAGAAAAAAAACTTGTTTGCAACAACACATATGAACTTAGAAGGTATTGTGTTAAATAAACAAAGCACAAAAAGAGAAATTCCGTCGGATAAAACTCATTTATAGATGTTATCTAAAAATGCTGAGCTCAAAGAGTAAAAAGGAGAATGAACAAGTGACTGTGGGATACCTAACCCCAGTTGGTGTATCTACAATCCGGCTTCTACACCTAAGACTCAGGGAACATGGTAGAAGAGGCAGCAAAAAGGTTGAAGAGATTTAAAAGGAATACAACATCTGCTACAAGACAGTGTATTCTAGACATGACAGTGGAGTTTCACCTGTGAAATCTCAAGGCTACTGTTGCCTAAGCAAATTCAACATGCTAACATGGCTGAGGCAATCTCACAAGGACCTAACTCTAGGTGAAGAGCAATAGACAATGGATAGCTGCCAAGAGATGGAGAATTGGTTTTCTACAAGAATGAACCCTGAGTTATCTAATCCCAAGTGGTCAGCACTAAACACATGTACACAAGAGGAACACTAAATGGACCCAGCAGATTTCTGTGTGTGTGTGTGTGTGTGTGTGTGTGTGTGTGTGTGTGTCTTTGTGTCTGTGACATGCTACAAAGGGCAGATTTGTAGTTGTATAAGGGACAGAGGTAAACAAGTAAGACTTTATACCTGAAAGGAAGGTGACTAGACATGAGTATCTAGAAAGGCCAGTGGAAAGGTCTGAAAAAATAAAAAAGAATATTGGGAGGACCATTCTCAGGGGATTCTGGATTGTATAAATGGAGAAATGGAGCTAAGTATCAGTGTTTGTTCACCGATTTCTTCTGACCACAGATGTCATGTGTTCAGCTGCAGTAGCCTTGACTTCCTCACAAAGAACTGTGACTTGCACTGGGATAACATACACCCTTCGTTGAGTTACTTTAGTCAGAGTACTTTTAAGCAGAAAGCCAAGACAGTCCCTAAAACATGAGCAATTTGTCTTCCCGCTCTTTAGAAAGAGAAGAATACACATGAAAATAGAACAGTCCTGTGCCCAAGCTGTCTATAAACAACCAGTTTGGAATCTGCCACGTTGGAACATAGGGAAAGAGCTGTCTGTCACACTCAGCTAGACCTTCAGCACCTTCCGTTCTTTCCTCCTGTTTTTCATCCCAAATGAACACCAGCTCTTCTTGGTTCCACTAACATATTCCAGCTGATATGCTAACTTGAGGCATTGCTGTGCCTGGCATGGACTATCATATCCCCTGGTTTCACTGATTCTGCGCTGAGCTCAGACCAAGGGAGCAGACTATGTCACTGGTCTGTAACTAGCTCAGAGAGAAGATTCTTGGATCTGAACTCTTATTCAACAGCTCAGCCCCAAGTTACTACCTAATAAAGTGACACCCAGAGAACCAAAGGGAATTCTGAAGCCATTCTCCCCAGGTTTAGCTGCCTTGAATGGAGAAAGAGGTCAAAGATCATTCCTCCTTAAAATGCCAGACATAGAGATCACTTCTGCTATTTGATAGTTCAAGGCTTTCCCATGTCTCCCTTGCTGAAAACATATCACAAAAGCATGCCTTTGAGGTTTACACTAAGAATGTAAACATCTACTTTTAAACACAAGCAGAAATTCTGCATACATCTTGGGAGTTAAACCGTTGCTTCATTTGTTGTCATCATATCAGTCAATTAAAATAAAAGTGTATTTATTATCACGACATTAAAATGTTATAAATTAATGATGGTGAAACACATTTTAAACAAAACAATTATTAAAATGTCTTATCATAAAATACGGAAGGAAATTGATTGACAGTTAATTCAAATATTAGGAAAAAACAGTTGGCTAGGTGACTTTAGCAAGCATATCACATTCCTTTTTGAACTAACAAGTGTTCTGAATTGTTAAATAAACCCACAAAGCACAGTAAAAACAAATACCAGGTTATACTGTGAATCTAACTTTGTAGATTTCCCTGGTGTTGTAGCATTGTAGCGTTAAGTGTGTCAACTTTGTAATTTGTGTTCAACTTTTAATGATTTAATTCAAAGGTTACTGGAGATCTACATCTTGGTGCTTCTCCAGCCTCACTAGTGAGCATGGATTCTGTGAAACAAGTAGACAGCACAGTAACTGTAGAGCAACCCCACAGACGATAGAGGGGCAGAATTGTTCCTCCAGTGTGATAATATAACGTTATTTTAAATAGCAATCCTGCCGGAATAAAATTCGGTATGAAAAGATTAATCAATTGGTAACGCACTTGCTGGGTTCTAAAACCAGCAGCATCCATAAGAGACATGTAGGTCCTTGAACCCCAGCATCCATAGGAGACATGTAGGTTCTTGGACCGCAGCATCCATAGGAGGCACGTAGATCCATGTGCTCACAGATAAGTACTAGGGAAACACAGGGTTGTGTCTTCAAACTGAGAGATGTATAACCTGCGTTCTACCCAGAAGGCTAGGAAATGATGTGATGAATAGCCTAGTGACCTCTGCACCTCTGCGCTATCTGAATGGCCAGGCTGCACTGGATCCTTCTGACCTTTACTTTGAGTCTGTTTATCTCAGCCAATCTACAGAACTATTCTCCCCTAGACCCTAACCATGAGCATTATTTTCCTTGAGCCTGCTCCCTTAGTAGATCTATAGAACCTATCTTCATGTAAGATGTCACTTGTACTTTACAAGAAGTTCAGTGTGATCATGTCTTAAGCACACAGGGTTTTGCTATACCATGGAACTTTTTTCCAAGTTGTGCTGTGCTTAAATATGACTAAAATAAACTATCCATACTCTCAAAGTTTGAACCAAGATCGTTTACTGAATTGTATTGAACTGAATTTCCTTCTTGCCTCCCCTGGGTGGACACTCTGATGACCATAGTGTTTGTAGGCATTCTCCTACACTCCACTCCACACACACACACACACACACACACACACACACACACACACACACAAGCATCCACATAAAAAGCCAAGCACAGCAGTAGATGCCTATGATCCCAGCACTGGAAAGGAAGAAACAAGAGGATCTCTGGGTTTGCAAATCAGACAGTGTAGGCATACTGGTGAGTTCCAGTTTCAGTGAGAAACCTTACCTCAGAAAAGGAAAGAAAGAAAAGAAAAGAAGGAGAGCAGCTGAAGAAGACACCCCATGGCCTGCACACATGTGACCACACACATTATAATAGCAATTCCAACCTGTTTTTCTATCATAAATGTTCATTCTATAATAACAATATCTATCTTTTGTGTTTGTGCATATTAACTTTTTAAAGATATTTGATTGTTTTATGTTGGTCCAACCTGTGTGTATGATAAACTCATTGCTTCAGTCCATGTCCTTATATTGTCTGCCCTCGTAGTCCTAACTTTTTCATTCAACATTCTGAATTCTAGTTTTCCAAAGCTACCAATTCAGTTTTCTATACGTCTCTGATATCATCCAATCAAAACCTCTCTACATGACCCACAATTAAAATAAACAATCAAATGTTTGTGGCTTCACATCTCCTTGGGAAATAAATGTCTTGATTTCATCTTGAAAAAACAAATAAAAAGTAAACAATCAAGCTGGAGAAAACAATGGTCCTATTGTATCCCTTTATTGCTTTCTCTGGACTTCCATAAACATTGCTTTCAATTCCTTTTTCCCACCTTTTTCAGACTACAATTTAACTGCAAAATGGGCTGAGCTATGCAAATCTATTTAGATAAGGATTTTTAAAATCACCCCCCACAACTTTTCACTCTGTTTTCCACATCCTTCTCTTCATTTGATTTCTTTCAGTTAAGTGTGACCTCCCCCTCTGAGATGCCTCAAATGTGTAAGTCATAAACTATCATCTTACCTTCATGCTTGGGAAGCATTCAGGACAGACGAGAACAAGAAAATTTCATCTGTAAAGACAGACAGGCTTTTATCTCCCCCACAGCCTCTCCTGCTCTGGATTCTTTTTCCACTCATTTATAGAGCCAGCTGTCCTGAGACTCTACCCCCACTGGATTCTCCAGGGACACAGAGCGCCTGCCTCTGTACTTGATCTGTGCCTTGAAGCCAGATGCATTTTGTCAGTTGCACAGACCCTTGCTGCAGCCAGCTGGGACTGTTTGGAAGTTACAGATATGTTTCTGGGAAATGTATCTGCTAATCAGGAAAGACAGTGAATGTCCTCAGTTTGGCATTGAAGTGATTTCCAACCAAAGGAAATTCTGCCAAGCAAGAGCTGGACCTCTTCACTGTTTTAATCTGCTAAACTGAGCACATGTTTTCCCGATTCTCTTAAAGGGTGTTATAAAGCAGACTCTGAGATTGCTTTGTCAAAGAAGAACTTGCCCATTTTATGTTTTTGTAACAAAATACTCGAGACTCAGAACCTTTAAAATATTCAGCTTGCAGTTCTAGGTAGTACAAAAACATGATGTTGGTATCCATGTAACATCTGGTAAGAACTTGTCTTTGTGCATCATGCCATGAAAGAGGTTATCACATGGTGAATTGCCAAGTGTGGTAGCACAAGTCTCTCTTCCATGTCGTATAAAACCACCAATGCTAAAAGTAGGAGCCCCATTCTCAGGACTTAGTTATGAAACAGGATTTCAAGTCTGACTCCGAGAAGTGCAAAAATGTAACAAGATAAATGTGGAAGGAAGATTCAAAGAGGAAGAGGTGATTTTTGAAAGGGGACGTTTGTGGTCTGGGAGAGCATCCAGCATCTTCCTGCAAGTGGGGGTGGAGTGTCTTCAGGAAGACCGAGGTCACCCCAGTTATGTAAGTAGAGCTACTGGTGTGAAAAAACACAGCTGGAGTCATGGGATCTTCTGGCAGCTGATCGTAAAGAGAAATAAACCACAAAAAGCATCCCATTTGGGGAGCAAGAAATAAAAAAAATGGAGGAGAAAGAGAGATAGTGGAAATAAGTAACATAGGGAAGCAATGCTATCAAGCCAGTTCGGGTAACTTCAAGAAGAAACCAATGGGTAAGGAGAACTGGCGGCCAGATAGAAGGGTTGCTAAGGGAACGCACCAAGCCAACCACACAGCACACTCATTGGTAAACTTAGGGTAGCATTTTCCAATTTTTTTTTTGCCACAGAATTCTAGTACTACAGAACACTTCCAGAAAAAAAAAGAACCTTAAATAAGACTGTAAATGTATAAAATAGAGTTGGATTAGGAAGCTTCCATGACCCTGAATTTAGGGGCCTGGTGACATGTTTCCATCTCTGTGGAAGAAGCACCCTCAGGTGGAATGGGAAATTATCTGCAGGAGGTGCCAGCAGGTCCTGGCCTGCACGTGACATTCGAAAATGTCTCCTGGTGCCAAATGTGCCCTGGGGCAGAACGCACATCACATCCCTTGAGTAAGAATCACTGCTACGCTGTATTCCCAGCAAACGCCCACTTTCACCTCCATGGTGCACTGCGAAGTGTGTGTTCTGAAAGTCTTTCAGAAAGCAATACTTTGATTGAACTTTTTAACCCTAGTTCATTCGACATCCCCCACGTTCCTGTTTCTAACAAGATTAGTGTGTGAGCATTTTTGGTAATTAGCATCTGATAAAAAGAATCCGTAAAAGGGGAAAGGTTTCCCCTTTTTCCTGCTTTTACCAGCAAGAGCGCATGCCTTCCTCATCTCTGTGACCCAGCCACCCTTTCCCCATCTCTACTCAGTTCCCTGGGATCTGACAAGACCCACTACTTCTGGGGAAACGTTCAGGCTACTCATGATAGCAGGACATAATGTGTTCCATCTTATGGACCTACATGGACCATGAAAGGGGGTAGAGGATGTCTATTTGAAGAAAATGGTTTGGCATTCCTATTTAAGATGCTGGTCATTTTATTGAATTCGGAACAAATCTGGAATAATTCAATCTCCATAGACTCACCTGCCTCTTATGTAGTTGAGAAGAGTAAACTTAACTTGGGAAGAGTAAAAGCCTCCTTTTTCTCCTTTGCAATTGAAACTGATCGGTCAGACTTGAGCTCTCCAGAAATTGGAACAAAGAAGCAATAGCACCCTCTAGTGGCGTAAGGCTCCAAGCCCTGCAGTAGCACAACCGCATCTGGCTCTGGAGTTGAATCACTCAGGAGCCAGCTAATCTTCCTAAACTCCAGGGCAGGAGCTTGTTAAACTAATAAGTAATCCGGGTGGTATCTTTTCCCAGTAAAGTGCCACTGCGTGAATAGTTTGAGAATGAAAAATGGCTGCCAGGCAAGGCCAAAAAAAAAAAAAAAAAAAAGTTGTTAAGCGCTTTCTCGTGGCACCTAAGGTGCGTTCGCAGCACTAGACTAACCACAGACCCCTGCGATAAGTGAGCTCATGAGACGAGTTCTCTTGACACCCTGTTTTTCACGAGAACGCTGTTTAGAGTTTAGATGTTTGAAAAATATTTACAGGGCTTTTCACTCCCTCTGGACAGAAGTTCACACTGGACAAACCTTTGCTCCGGCTGCCCCAGTGACTGCAGATGGTAAAGGTCAGATTATAATCAGGAAGTACTAAGATGTTTCCTCACTATTGTCTCCAAGAGTGCCTGGTGCTTATTAAATTTAGGAGGGCCTGGATTTGTTTGGGTTGCAATTTGATTGTTGCTGTTGTTATCTGCAGTGCACATTGTGGTAGCTGCTCGCAAGTCCAAGATACATTTCTTTGGGCTTAATTTGAATCAAGAGAAACAGTTCTGAGAAGGATGATGCAAACTGTGAAGGTATCTGAAGTTCTGGGAGGACACTGTATAAAGTCATGCAGAGGCCACATGCCAGAGGATGACTTCCTTTATTTCGAGTATACTTAAAATGTATGGTGCCTCAACCCCAGAGAAACTATGTAACAAAGAGGACCCTAAGAGAGACACACATGGATCCATGTAGGAAGGGGAAAAAGACAAAATCACCTGAGTAAATTGGGAGCATGGGGAGTAGTGGCCAAGGGTAGAAGGGGAGAGAGGAGGAAAATGTATAACTCAATTTTTAAAAAGATTAAAAAAGAAAATGAAAAAATATCGTACCTACAAAAGGGGTGGAAAAAAGGAGTTCAGCCTGCAAAATTCTTTTTTAAAAAACCAATTGCTTCCAGAAAAGGACAAGTGCTGTGGAATATAATAACTGTTTAACTATGTAAAGATGGGCTGCTGTTTTACCTTGCCTGCCTAAGGCACCTGATTGGTCTGATAAAAAGCTTAACATCCAATAGCTAGGCAGAGGAGGGATAGGTGGGTGGGGCTGGCAGGCAGAAAGAAAAAGGGGGCTAGCCAGCCATGGAAGAAGCAGAAAAGCAGGATGAACAGTACAAAAATGAGGTAAATGAGTCTCAGGGCAGCACATAGATTAATAGAAATGGGAAAAAAAAAGAAAAAGAAAAAAATAGAAATGGGTTAATTTGGGGGTGGGATGTTCAAGACAGGGTTTCTCTGCGTAGCTTTGAAGCCTGTCCTTTCACTAGCTCGTAGAGCAAACTGGCCTCCAACTCAGAGATCTGCCTGCCTCTGCTCCTAAGTGGTGGAATTAAAGATGTGCACTACCATCACCTGTCAGAAATGAGTTCATTTGAATTTTTTTAAAAAGCTAACTAGAAATAAATCTAAGATAAGGCCAATCATTCATAATTAATAATAAGTCTCCATGTCATGATTTGGGGGTTGGTGGTCCAAGAAAGCCTACTACAGACAAGCTATCTCATAATTTAAACTCTATCTCTACAAACTACTTAATCCTTAATATCATATGTATTCTACATTATAATCATCATCATCTATTCACCAGGCCAGAAAAGAAGGAAAAATGAAGGTAATGTAAATGTGAAATCCTCAATTATAAACTTCATTTATTTATTTTGTGTGTATGAATATTTTACCTCCATGTACATCTTGTGCACTATGTATGTGCCTGGTGCCCAAGGAGGCCAGGAGAGAGCATTGGATGCCCTGAAACATGAGTTACAAGTTGTGAACTGCCATTTGGATGCTGGGAATCAAGCCCAGGTCCTCTGGAAGAGCAGCAAGTGCTCTTAGCCAGGGAGCCATCTCTTCAGTCCCTTACAACCTCTTTAAATGTTTGCGGGTAAAATTATATCAGAAGCCAGTGAAAAGCCTCCATAAACACACATGTACCTGGAGATTACTCCTTAAGGGAAGGAATGTTACTGAAAGCAAAAGAAGGTACTACTTTGTGTTTTAGTGATATAGATATGGGCTCTGAACACAGTCTGCCCTCAAAATCTTTCCAAGACAAGGAATGGAACCCCCAGCCTCATATGTGCTAAGCAAGCACTATGCCATTGAATGATGTTCCCAGCTGAATTCAAATCTTGGGCAAGTTGCCTACCCACCCTGACTATGTATTTTCTTATTTAAAAAGTATTAATAATGTCATCTAACTCACAGGGTTGTTTTATTTAGTGTGAAAATGCAAGTAATTCACTTATCATCATACTTGGACTACAGTAAGGTAGTATACAGAAGATTATAAGCAACCTAAGTGGGCAGTGGACTGATTAAATTGTACAGGCATTAAATGAATATTAACACAACTGCAAAACTGAAGAAGTTGTCTATGCTCTGATAAAGACAATTAAACAGCATGCAGTGTTCAAGAAGAAAGAAAAGAGTAAATGAGATGACTTAGCAGGTAAAGTTGCATTGCTTTGCCATCCTGGTGACTGGAGTTCCATTCACTGATACCATGGTGGGAGATAGACAACTCCAAAAGTTGTCTTCTGACCGCTATACACAGGGTGGGGCACTCACTGGCACACACTCACACCCCACTAATAATAATAGTAATTTTTTAAAGTCTGCTTTGGCTGCTGAGTTAGTTAAGGCCAGTCTGGACACTTTAGAGAGACCTTATCTCCAAATAAAGAGTAAAAGCATGGCTGAGGATGTAGTTCAGTGGTAGAGGACTAACTGGCATGAAAGAGGCCCTAGGTTTATCCCTAGGACTGTGTATTGGGCTATAGAGATATGATAGCTCAATAGATACATAGTTAGATATAC